TTCCGTTTGCGTTTGCTGACTTTTCAGTGGATCCCATTCGATTTGTTCTTATGAATGAAAAGGTTTTCGTTCGACTTTCAGCCCGCCAAAAATTTATTTATGTCAAAACTTTTTGCTGGTCAAATTTATGGAACATCAGGCCGTCCATATGCCAGTTAACCCTTTTTTCGGGACCCCTCGGCGTATGGGTAATAAATCATCGAATGAAATGATAAACTGCTAGCCTGCCTGCCCACCCCCCACATTTTCTCACTTTCCCAACTACAACGGCCTTTTAATAGACCGGGTTGCGAGTGTGTTTAAAATCCCCTTCGAGTGCTCGTAAAACGTTCGTTTATCTTATATGGGACTGGTATTTATTTACTTTTATATTCGTATTCGGATTCTATTTTGCGCATTGCCAACTGCTTCATGTTAGATTTATGTGCGGATCTATTCGGCGAAATTTATGTTTGCATTTCAATTTACTTCCTCCCAGGAACTCACTGTCTGTTTCTGTCTGTTTTTAATAGCATATGTTGATTAAATCTAGCTGTTTATGACGTGGTTTATTTTAGATTTCTTTGGGATTTTAAAAAAGAATCGGTTGTAAGATAGATTGAATATAAAATCACATAGTTAATTTGGCTTACATTGTACTGTAATACTGTATCACTAAAAGATTGCATTACTTTAATAAGTATTATTAGGTATAAAGTCAACCAGGAAATTATTAGCGCTTTTCCCAATACATCCCCGTCATGTTTGGCTTCAGTTTGAAAAGGTTTCTGATTGACGAGCCCCGAGGGGCGGCATTAACTCCCCTCCCTCCCGAGTGAAAACACAGATTTCCCTTTTTCAAATCATCCTTCAATTTGTGTCACATTTCGAACCGATTTCGACGTTCCGAGCTTAAAACTCACACTCTTTTGATTTTTGCGGAGGAACGGGCCAAAGGCGAGGATCTCAATTATGAGAGCCTAAGTGTGCCGTTAAAACCAAATCGATAATTTTCCGTTTTCCCAGCATGCAGGGCACACGGAATGCCGAGCGTTGACAATGTGAAATGCCGGCATGGGCATGGGGAGGAGATCCATTAGATATGCGAGGACTCACCCGGAATCACACGCGCCAAGGCTCCTGGTACTCACATATCCGCATAGCCATGAATTTCGAAATGACATTCAATAAGCAGTCGAGATGTTCAATTATTTTTCAATTGCATCGATTTGCCGGCGACCCACAAAAGAAATTTGATTATACTCGAGGCCTCAAAAGGGACCAATAAACAGGGAAAAATGTTTCCTGTTTTTCGGTAGCCACTATTTGTGTCAATAGGCATATGACATGTATACGTAAGCATAAATTATAATAATCTAGGGGGTTGGCCTTGGCAATAGACTTGCTTTAAATGAAGTCAGAAAATATGTAAATGCGCTGTCAAAGATATTTAAAATTATTCTCGTTTTCCCCTGTGCATAATTCGGGGTTTCTTGTTGATTTTCCTCCCAGCACGTGACGCATTCAAAATAAGCCTGGGCGGAAGTCGTTTGGCACCCATTTTCGGGCCTGTGTTTCGGCCCGAGTTTGGGCCCCGTCGCACTTACCCACATGCCAGGGGCGTGTATCTAAACCAGTTAGCTACTTTGCATTAAAGCTCGCCCCGGGAGGATCGTTGAGTGGCCAACTATATCCGATAGCACTCAGACGTCGCCCATCCTGTCCACTGTCGCTCAGTTGAGTTGAGATGAAGATGGAGACGCTTTGCGTTGGCGTGTTAACGGAAAATGAATGCCTGGCCGAGGGAATTTTGGGGAAAATGGCAGAGAGGGGGGAGGGAGGATTGGGGAGGTGGACAACAGGAAATGCTGACTTGACAGGGACGGAACCCGGAAAGCTTCCGCTGCCATGGCATCCCAACCACAGACAAAGATTTCGTGGTGGGCAGCTTTCGCAGGCCCTGTGGCGATAATCCCTCAATCCACATGGAAATGCGAAAAAGGCCGGAGGAGTGAGGAGGTCTTACACCAGAAGAAAAACACATGAGAGAAATAACATGTTGTTATAAGAACTCAACTTTGGTAGAAGTGAGAACTACTGTTGGGCTATTTTAGTTATAACTTGGCCAAAAATAGACTCACAGACAAAAGGAGCATATTTTTGGTCAGCTAAAGAGCCCAGCTAACGACCCCTATAACCTTTTTAAAAATTTAGAAAAATTAATTTTAGGCCAATTTTTGCATTTTTTGTAACATCATCATTTTTTGCAAAAAAAGGGCAAATTTCAACATTTTCAGGTGTGGATACCAACGGATTTGAAATTTTATTACGAATTCAACGATGTATGCCATTCCACATTTGGAAGAGTACTTCCTGAGATATTGCAATAAAACTGGGTTGCAAACAGCAAAAAATTGTATGACCAGTATTTTTGAGAATAATTTTTTTCAGTGAGCATTTCAGACAGATACAGCAGCACCTTGGGCAACACAAACTATCTACTGAAATCGCTTTAAAGCTCCTTTCGATGGCACAGCTGCCTTCGAACGTTGTTGATATTTTGTTAACAGATTTATTTGCGCAACGTGTTCACGCTTTCATTTGCAATTTTCCACTAGAGCCCGACGTCGTCGGTTTTCTCGCATTTCGATTAACCGTAAAAGTGGTGCCTCGGATGTTTTGTCCAATTCAGGCAGAGGCGCACAAAAGAAATCAAAGCATTCGAGGAAGCTGCCATTCCCTGTCAAACCCACTTCAAGTGGGCGCCAAACAGTAGTGTCCTCCTGCTCCTCGGGGGCCCGGGGTCCTTTGTATTCGAGGCGGTGGGGCACTTTGACAGTCCCTAGTCACTCAGTTAGTTTGGGTGGCGCCAAAGGAACTCGGCGCTGTCAATCTTGTGCGGATTGAAGTTGATTTATCCAGGCGAAGGCTTTAAAGTGGCTTTAGACATCACAGAAATGTCCGCAAACTCAATGAAAATTTTATTTCGACAAGCTTAACTTGTGTTGCCGGAGCAATTGTAGTGTGAAAATTAAAGGGACGCCCTGAAGTTGAGTTACTTCAGGGTTTTCCACTCGGTTGGTTGCGCTTGAATTCCCTGGAAACTGCTTGAAAAATTACAAAACAATTACAATAGCTTTCCAGGCATAATTAAATTATATCCCGGGTTTTTGCGAGCTTACATGACTTCGGGTTGGAGAAACCTGTGCAGCGGAAAATCGTTTGTCACTGCTGTCGGGAATGATGTTTTCGTTCCTGACGTTCCTTTGACTGCCTTGATGCCGCTTTTGCATCATTCGGTTTTGTTTTTGACACAGAAGGCATCAAAACTGTCTGTCTGCGGGCTTCGGTTATCTTCTCTTGGGTTTTCAGCAAATATATTTATTGCGTTTTTTCGTCACATCAAAGGGCATAATTTGCGAATGGCTTTTCTGTCGTTGAACCCAGAGAAATGAATGAGTTTTAAAGTTGATTTCAAGTTAAAGACCCAAATGTCATTTCCACATCACCACGGTTATTTTTGAGAGCTTTCGGAGTTTCAACTCAAACCCAATTACCACATTTACTTTTTGTGTAAGGGAACCCTTTTTCGTATTGTTTTCCATTTTACCCTTCTTATATTTTCGACCCCACCAACAAAAGTCCATTCCCAACATCCTGTTGTAAAAACAAAGTAGTCGACTTCTTTTAATGTTCCGTTTATGCCAGACGGTTTATAAACCTGATTATATATGTGGGTATCACTGTATTTGCTCCTTTTTGTGTTCTTATTTTAATTCCGGTTTCCTTTCATTCGATTCAGTGAAGGTCTGTGGAAGTCAAAACTTAAAAAGAAGTCTTCTCTTTCCTTTCGACCCAATTAGCCACGATTATTATTACTAAGAAAACCCTTTTGCCTCATTGTTTTCTGTTTTCGACTTTCCGCTTTTTGGTTTGCTTATCAACTAAAATGATTGGCATTCAAAATTTATATAGATTTAAATCAGATATGAAAAAATAGATACTCTTAAAAGGTTTTTTTTATTTATATCAGAATTATTTGTTTTTGTACAGCATTAAACGAGAACGTTCTGTTTGTTATAACCAAACTTTTTTTCGTCGAAGCTCCATGCTTAATTTAGCTTTTGACCAGCCCCCGCTTTTTTTCTTTTTTGGGGCTATGATATAAACTTTTGCTCAACTCGTTTGTGGGCAAAACGCCCACGTTCTCGCATTTGTAAATCAAGGGTGAGGAGACAAGTTTATCATGGCCTTTTCGGTGGCAGCTGCTCCCACTCCCAGGAAACGCACAAGGGATTGAAGTTTATTCGAGTGACTTTTATTCCGTTTGGTACTCGGCATTTTCGGAGCCCAGTTGTGTGGCTCTGGCACATTTATTGCAGCGTGATCCACTCCAGACTGCGAGTGGGCGTAATTAACACGCAAACGAAGCCATAACGCCGCCCCGGGGGCAAAGGTCACTGGCGAAGCCCATAGACAAGGGCTGCTGATTAATTGATTACGGAAGCCACTGCAAGGGATGCCGTGCAATTTATCAGCCAACTCCCAATTAACACTTTCCTCCGTAATTTCCACGCCCAACGTCTCCAGGTGGCGAAGTTGGTTTCCACTTCGCGGGAAAGCGGAGAGGAGCTATGAAGGGGGCAATGCAATCAGGGCAAGTGAGTGCTTAAACACGAGGACAACCAATTAGCCAAATGAATACCTCTGTTTTCCTTAACACAGCGAAAAGAGCGAGAAAGATTAAAAATTCCCAGGGAAGGAGTTACAATTGAAGTAATTGAATTCCATGTTTAATTGGTGTGTAATCCAAATTCAATTATTTTTATGCTTTCCTAATAAAATGCATTTAAAATTCTTAAACATCATTGGGTAACAGTATCATTAAAGTAACTGATTTGGTTGATGTAGTTAAAAAAATAAAAAAAAATAGTAGTGCAACTGAAAAGCCTTTTCAACCAATCCCTGAAAAAATGTCATACCATATTCCCTTGACAGTGAGCCCCAAATATATACTCCGCTTTTTGTGTAAAAAAAGAAACGTTTATTTGCTTAGCTTATATAACAAGGGTGACCAAAGTCGTTAGTTTATGTACAAAATACCAATAGCAAAACCGAACTGCACTCGAGAGTTAAAAAAAGAGACCGATTCGCGGTTATTGCCAATCTAACTTTCAGTTTTTATCGGGCTGTACTGGATGATATTGATGGGTGGGAGTGGGTGCGAGGGCCTTGTTACCAGCAGCCCTGCATCAGACCCAACTGCTGGATGGCCCCGCAACCGACGCGGTTCTGCATGTAGTCGGGGAAGTTGCTCTGCAGGACCCGCATCGTGTTCCTCTTGTAATCGGGCACCGCGTGGGTCACCAGCTGGCAGGTCTGGCTGCGGTACACCGGCTTGAAGTTGGCCTCCGCGAACGTGGAGTTCGTGTCCCAGCGGTACACCTCCGCGTCGCCCTCGTTCCGGAAGAAGATCGCCGAGCCGTTGTCCGTGCCGATTATGACCATGCGACTGGGTTTCTTGCCCAGATCTGGAATTATTTAATAATTTAATAACATGAAGTAGAATTATATTAGGTTAAATTAAACTAACTATCTTTATCCCGAGTAGATGTATGTAATTATGATATCATAAAAATCAAACTCACCCAAGATGCGTCCGTCGGCCAGTCCACTGCGCAGATACTCCGACTTCAGGGAGAACAGCTTGCTGGTGCTCAGGTAGGTGAAGTAGAGCTCCGTGGAGCCGCAGTCCCTGCGGATGAGGGCAATGTAGAGCACGTCCCTCGATCGACAGCCGGCGGTGACGGCCTTGGGCAGCACCACCCTGAATCCGCGATCCGCCTGGAGGTTGTATACGATTATGGCCCTGTTGGCGGCATCACTGACGTACACGAAGCAGCCGCCATCGGGGGCGTAGTCCACCACCAGGTACTGGAGGCGGGAACTGCTGGAGGTGAGGCCCTCCAGGGAGACGGTCTTCAGCACCTTGCCGGTCTTCACCGACATGGCCACCACCTTGGGCGGGCACTTCCGCACCGGGGTCTCCAGGGTGTTCACAATGCCCGTGTCCAGGACCCAGAGCACCTCGTTCTGGTCGACCATCAGGTCCACCACGGACTGCAGGGCCTTGCAGTTGCCCTCCTCCTGGAGGTCCCAGCAGGGATAGGGCTTGAAGGTGGTGGAGCAGGTGCCCGGCTTCACCGTGGTCTTGACCAGCGTGGCGGGCACTCCCTTTCGGTAGCGCGGCAGAGCCAAGTAGATGGTGTCTCCGATGAGCTGGGCCCGCGTGGCGATCACGTTCTTGGGAATGAACTTGCCGGAGCTCTTGAAGAGCGACTTGGTGCTGGCGCAGGGGAACTCGAACTGACCCCCAGTCCACTGGATGGGCTGCGAGTCGGAGTAGGCTCGGTCCGGAGTCCACAGTCCGTACTTTGTGCCCTGCGAACCAGACAACTCCGCCAGGCAAAGGCCAAGGATCACGGCCAAGAGCAGTCTCATCTCGAAAACAGTTGGTTTTGGTCTGGCCACGACGTTTGCGTTCTGTACGAGTGGCAAATTAAAAGAGTGGCGTGCTTTTATAACCAACAGACCCATCCAATCTGAACAGAAACCGGCAACGTGCCTCGCGACCAATTCTCAATTTTCAAACTGATTTTTTGCCGGCCAAAGAACCTTGACCAAAGTTGACCAACAAAAAGCTATAACACTTATGGCTCAAAAAGTAATTGAATTGCATGTTAAATTGAAGCAATTCGATCTGAACTCAATTACTCGTGAACCTTTATAAAGGTATTTATATAAGATACCTAGACATTGTTGAACAACATCTATTAGTAATTTCTCATATAACCATTTGGCTCGCAGGGAAGCCCCAGAAGTTTTCCATCGAAGGTTAAGGGTCAAGGAAATGGAGGACTTTCTGCCTTCCTGAGAAACTACAAACGCCGCTGCAATTAGTGCAACCAATCGAGAAGGGAACTCCTACAAGTGTCTCCAGATTGCCAGTGATATTTTTAGCAAATTAATTGCCATTAACAAAAGTGTCCTCAGACTGCTGTTCCGATGGTCGAGCAACAGCTTGGCGAAAGCAAAGTGATTGAATGAGTGACAGAAAATCTCTGCATCTCGGGATTTCCCTGCAGAATCGCTCGGCCATTTCCATCGGCGTAATTGCCCCTAAATAGGCTAAGGCCCTCGATATGGGTAGACAACCGGGATCGCCCCAAGCCAAGTCCAACGTGTGTGGCATGTTAAATTGTGAGCCGAAACCCGCATTCCGGGTGACTTTTCCCCCGCCCAGCGGAATGATTTATACGAGACATGGAGCACAAAAAATTGATGACAAGCATTTCCGGGCTACTCATCTGACATAATTTATGTAAACACTCACCTCCAGCCAGAAAAAGTTCGGGGGAGATAAGAGACAGCCGGGCGACTGGCGACTGACCCCCATTAGAGGGGAGAAAACAGCCCGTCCCCGGGAAAATCCTGCCCATATTCCGCCGCAGGCCATTTTCCACACATTACATTGACAGTTCTTTTTATTGCCCGTTTAACGAGGCGTATGCGTCATGGGGAAAAGCCGAGGTTTGTGTGCGACTTCTTTAAAGCGGGCTCGCCGTTTCCCGCTTTTCCGAACGAAAAGTTTACCTTTCTGTATGTGCGTGCCAATAAAAACCCAATTGAAAACGCAAATAAGCCAATAATTTGTCGGGCTTTACTTTGTCCCGCAGCTGCGGAAAAAAAGTGCAAAAAGAATTGTCTGTGGTCACGTTTGATTTGCTTTGGTAAATGGGCCGACTGCTGCTGCTTTTTGCTGAGGAAAGCGATTTTCTTTTTTTCCGGGAATCTCACATAAATTAAAAACAAAACTTTCAAACTTATTTCCAGGGATGGTAAGAACTTGCTACATACCATAAAACTTCGTTCCAATATATCAACCTTTTATGAACAACAAAAAATAAATTAAGTTCCAGCTCATTTAAAATGATTTCCATAGCAGATGCTAATTTAGACAAAGGCTTTCAACGAAACCATTTGATTCCCATTTAAATCAGCGGCTTATAGTTGCAATACAGGGTATTAAAAAGTCATCAGACAGGGATCCAACCTAATCTCCCCGCACATCTCACTGGTCGCCTAATTTATGTGCTTTGCTTTCACTTTGCTGGCTTTCTTTCGTCGGCCAAGTTTTGTTTACGTCTGCTTAAAGTTGTCCACTGTGGTTCTTAACCTTTTGCACAGCCCAAATGGTTTGATGAATTGCCATAAATTAGTGCCTTTATCCGGTGGCTCATCGCTGTTTAATTGTTTTGAAATAATTTAATTCATTTCGTCGGTTGGTTTCATTCCTGACTTGCCGACAAATTGATATCGGCAGCTATCTGCTCATCGATGCGCATATTGAAAATTGAATTTTTTCTCGCAAAATGAAATCAATGAAACATTTTAAATTCCTCATTTATACGCATCTGCCAAAAAAATAACAAAAATTGGAGTGGCGAATGAGAATATACTCTCTAATAATATTAAATAATGTAAAGAGCTAGAATAAAATCCTATTACTACTTTTTTAATTCTCTTATTTAATGGCGTAGTTATTTTTATCGTATTTATACCTATAGAGTGTTTAAATCTCAGTCTTGCGGCTGATTGATTCCCCATTTTGATGTTTTTGATTTTATTTATGCTGGAGCCCATAAATATTTATCTACAGCTCAGTCCGTGCAGATTCCAGTGACTGACAATCCGCCCACATATCGCACATCAGGCAGCTTTGGGGCATGTGTGCGCTATAAATTCGGGGATTATGATCGGGGGAGGGGCGACCAACCAACCAATGGCAGTTTATTAAAATGGATTTCGCACAAATTCAATCTGCATGTAATTTGGCCTTATCGACAGTCCGGCCGTGACTCATTCCGCCATGCGGAAGCCAAGTCGGAGCCTCGACAAAAGGGTTAACTCGGCTTATGAAAATGTTGACCAGCCGCTGGCCTTTCTCGCTCCGCTTTAAGCAGATTTAAGCTTGCGATTTAATGGAAGCCGAGTGCTGGGCATAATTCGCTGCACGTGCTGCTCCCTCAGCCCCAAAAAAAGAGACAGGACAAACAAAGGACTCTGCAGCTGGACACCGAGTCCTCCGCCAACGCGAATGTGTCAAAGCATTTTTTATTTGTTATTATTCGATGCGTGGGCTCCTCACGAGTTCGTTGCCCGTGTCTGGCGGACTCACCTTAATGTAATCCCCCTAAAAAGCTCCTAAATCCACAGGCCGGGATAAGAAGCCAATAAAAAAAGATGGACAAAAATTTGGTTCCAGGGGGCACCCGGATTTGAACCGGGGACCTCTCGATCTGCAGTCGAATGCTCTACCCCTGAGCTATACCCCCAACTGGGATTCCACGGAGCTCGGAGCTGTGCATAAGCCCAGAAACTGAGATAAAATTTTGCATTCGCCTTCGCATTTATCTCAAAATAGAAGTGAAATCAATTTAAGACAGATTGTTTATGAATTTTGCGCGAAACTCTTTGTGTGAGTCACCGGGTTGCTCTGTCCCATCGATTCTCCGGTAACTTGCAATCTTATCTGCGAAATGGGTTCCCCTTTCCGCCAACTTTCTCTTTCAACCCCAAACACTGATAACTGCAAGCGGGCTGACAGATGTTTTTGTCAGCCACAAAATAACTGGTAACACAAACCGAGTAACCGAAACTTTCTCGCTCGCAGATACAGGTCACCGACGTTGGCATCGATATTGAACTTTTGGGCCACTTTGGCAACTGTTTCGCCTGACCCCTGACCTTTGCCGGTCAAAGGGTAGGAACAAGGGTTTCCATCGGTTGCACAAGTGATCGATAAGTGACAGGAACTGGATTTAGTGCTTAACCCATTTTATTCAATAAGGTAACGGAGAAAGCTATAAAATATTTAACATTATGCCAAACAGTGTCTAAAGCCAAAGTAGTTTTTTTTTTTAAAGAAAAATAATAGTATAAGCTCCAAGATAGTATTTGAATCTCGTGTGCAATCTTTTTGGTTTTTATGCATCGAATGGGTTAAATTGAAAACATATTTCCGCGTGGATTTCCGCATTGCTTAGAAACGAGTGGAGAAGAGGTCTTAGAGGTCTGTCCGATTTCCGGCGAGAGCCAGACGTGCTGGCTGGGTGGTAACAATTCCAGACAGACACTTGTTTTCCCGTGTTTACCATCTAACGACCTTGCGACTGCAACACGCTCCGACTGGCATGCTGCACGAACGGGGGCTTTTATATTTAAATGCGAGTCTGGCCGCCGTTCAGACAGTTTTATGTTCTGGCCAAACGTGGCTCTCGAGTGCTGAGTTTCCGAGTTCCCAACTGAACACGAAGGAGCCGTAAAATGTCGCAGCTGCCATTGCTGCTGCTTGTGGTTTCTGCATCCGTGGCCCTGGGAGCATACAGTTCCTCCACTGACGAGTCCGGGTCGGCGGACGCCTCCAACGCGATTGGGGCAACCAAGTGCGACAAGAACCCGCTGAGCGAACTCACCTTCCAGCTGAGTGGGAGCAGCCTCCTCTGGCCCTGCGAGTCCACCAAGAACATTTACGTGCAGTCCGGCAGATATGTTCCCCGGAATGTGATCGTGACCAGGGCCCAGCTGCAGAAGGACTCGGCTTTCGTGGCCCTGCCCAGGTACAAGCAGGGCGTGCCCTTCACCCTCGGCAAGGTCAACCTGAAGAAGGGCGAGTGCCTTACTAAGATCGCCCCGTATCCTTGCTGGGCCATCCAGGAGGAGGGCAACTGCCAGGCCCTCCAATCCGTCGTGGACATCGCAGTCGATCCGAATGTGAGTGCAATTAACGCCGATATTGTTTCTGTTTTTTTTTTTTTGGGTGCAAAAAAGTTGCAATTTCAGCCTTTAATTACGGATGGCTGTGTTTTTGGTAGCCTCTTCATGGCCAGCAATCTCGATTTAAACGCTTTTTTCATATTTGTATGGTTCGCATGAAGGGGTAGCTCAGTCATTTATTTTATAAAATTCGGAAAAACATAAAAATATTTTTAAATTTATGCAGTGCAGTTTTTGGTTAGGCAATTCGTACCCACAAATCCAAAACAAAATTACTATTAAATACACAGAGTATGGCTATACGATATCACTCGACAATCAACCTTCTGCAGTTCCATCTTTTTAACAACCCATCCTCGCTGTCGACCAAAAATTGCTTTTTTAATCAAATAAACAGAGGCGGGAAAAAAGAGCTCCAAATAAAATTCATGACTGGCAATTGGCGCCGCCAACCGAAGAGAAAGAATGAACGGATAAACGGGTGAAAAAGTGGTTACGTAAATGGAATATTATAGGAGGGAAAACCCTGCAGCTGAAAAGTGTCATGTAAATGCAGTGAAGAGTTGCGAGAAATAATTTAAGCGTCAAAGGAAATGCCTGTCGCAGGCGATTCGACAATGTTTTGTGTGTTTTGATTGCAATTTAATACTCCGAAGCTTAAATGCCTGTCAGCTTTAATTAAAGTCTAGTACACAAATCACAAATAGAACAGTGAAATGTTCTTTGTTGAACAGCCAGTGATATCAGCAAATATTTACATGTTTGCATATTCAGAAACAGAAATGACCTACTTGCTATTCCCAGCATATCTGCAATTTAATAATTTTGCTTGATTATTGGAGACGTCAATCCGTTTTCATTTAAATGCCATTCTCGTTTAGCTGCATTTATGCAAATCATTTCTTCATTTTATTTACACAAAAGTCAACATAACAATAACAAACAGCGCAACTGAGTTTATTTGTTTGCACAATTTTCCATTCAGTGCGCTCGCAGATATTCATTTTATTGCTACGAGTGTTGAATTTTGAACTCCGGCATCGTTTCAATTAACAGTCGGCAAATAAAAGCATCGAAAACAATGAATACAAACCGCAATTGATGGCGATTATTAATTGTTTTTACACAGGGACTTCTTTGGGCCTTGGACGTGGGCATTGTCAACACCCTGGAGCAGCCCATCCGCCGGTGCGGCCCCAAGATTGTGGCCATAAACACGGCCAACAACAAGGTGGTCAAGAGCATCGATCTGAGTGACCTGGTCACCTCTGAGAGCCGCCTGCAGTTCATTGTGGTCGACTACTCCAAGGACAATAAGCCATTCGTGTGAGTTCTGGCACCTATTCTACTTTACGTTTGTTTATGCTCCGGTTGGAAAAGAGTAATGGGGCATTAGTCGTTAAAGAGCAAATATTTTAATTCATTTATATAATTTAAAGATTATTTTGCATGCACTTTAAAAGTAATTAAACACATAAATGTAAAAAACTTTACGTTTATCTTTAAAACTCATAACGGCAATTGTAAGCTTAACTTTTCCTATCTAATCATTTACCCAAAGAAAGTGTTCAATCAAAATTAAAGGTTCCACTCACGTTCAAACAAATGTTTGACAAAAAAAAATTAAAAGAAGAATGAACAAGTTTGCTAAGCCATATCTTATCGAGCTTTTCCGTTCTCAGAAATGTATCTCCTACTAACCAACTGAAATCAAATTAGCAACACCAGGCTTAATATTTTTAACCACTATTTGCCTCTTTCGAAACCACAGCTATGTGGCTGACGCCGGAGCCCGGAGCATCCTGGTGTACGACCTCACCGGCAACAAGTCGTACCGCATCGTCCTGCCGAAGGCGACGGCCCCCACGAGCGACGTCCTGTACGTGGCGCTCACCTCCAAGCCGGACGGCACCTCCACGCTCTTCTTCAGCTACCTGAGCTCGCCGCGACTGTACTCGATCAAGGGCGAGTACCTGCGCGTGGGCCAGGGGGCGGGCTCCATCATCGACGTGGGACCCAAGCCGTACGGGAAGCAGGCGGTGCTGCTGGGCGCCGACGGAGGCACCTCGCTCTTCTTCCGCTACAAGGGCGAGAACGACATCTACCTGTGGGACTCGGAGACCTGCTTCAAGGCCGCCAACCTGCAGGAGGTGCAGCGGGGCGGCGACTGCCGCCTCTCCACCCAGGTGCTGCCGGGCCACAAGCGGTTCATGTGGGCGCTGGAGAGCAACTTTCACGACTTCATCGCGGACCGAACCGGCTGCAACGGAGCCTCGATTGTCCTGCATCCCGTGGTGAGGGAGTGCGACGACTGACCTTCTTTTCTGCTTAGGTCTAAGCCTTGAATTGTGTTGTTTTCTTTATAGGGTATCAGTAAAAATGTGAAAGTTTTAAATAGGAAATAGTTCCGGGGATTTATTTGAATTAATGCAATGGTATTTTAGTGGACCCTTCATCAAATATTTTAAATTATTTTATTCCAATTTAAAAGTCTCCTTAACACAAACGTTAAGGGTAGTGCTGTAGTAGTAACCCGATGGGCAAGCTACCTTCTGAATACCTTCATTCACGCAGTAGCAGAAGACACTCAAATCCAGATTGGGGCAGGCAAAAGTGGAGAAATCCATTTCGTCACGGCACAGGTCGCTTTCCCTGAGGCACACCCCCTTCTGAGCATCGAAATAGGAAACCGGTGCGCAGTCATACTTGTGGAGCTCTCCCTCCAGGCAAAAGCAGAAGGCACTCAAGTCCCCACCGCGACACGAAAACACTTCATAGTCCAGCTGGCCCACGCACTCACTGGACTTCGCCTGGCACACCAACTTCTCGGCATTGAAGAAGGTTCCCAGTGGGCAGTCGTAGACCTGCAGCTGGTTCTCGATGCAAATACAGTACTCGTTGTAGGCAGTGGAATTGGGGCAGCTGAGGACCTCGAAGTTCTCGCACTGGTAGATCCTCTCGCTCACGCAGGTCATGATCCTCAGATCGATGTGGAATCCAGAGGGGCAGATGATCCTCTGCTCTTCTCCACCGACGCACTTGCAGTAACCGGTTTCCGTGGATCGGAAAGGACACTCGTATCTGGTCTGATCAACGCACTTGCTAGTATCTCTGACCTGGAGTCCCGAACTCCTGGAATAGCCTTCCGGCATGCAACTGTATCCGCTGAAGACGAATCCCTCGCGGCACTTCATCATCAGTGGATACAGCGAGTTGGAGGTGCTGTTCACGCAGACGTAGAAGTACCGGTTGTCCGCAGGCCATCCACCGACCTGTCCGGATCGATTGCAGGTGTACTGCTCCTCCGTGCACAGATCGCTCTCTCGGGAAAGGACACAGGTCTCGGAGAGCGTGGAGAAGCCAAGTCCGTTGGGGCAGAGGCGCGGAGTGTCCACATTCGAGTCGCTGCACTCGTGGTACTTCCTGCAGTCGTAGGGATCCGGGAAGAGTCCCGCCTGCTGGCAGGTAAATGGTCCCTTCTTGGCCACGCGACACTCCGACTGCCAGGTGCATCCGAAGGTTCCCTCGTCACTGCAGAAGAAATTGTGCTGGGACTGGCAGCCGAGCATCGCAATGGTCTCCCAGTTTCCGGTGGCGTCGCGCATGCAGTAGCCCAGAGTGGTGCAATTCAGGCAGAGGAAGCCGGCCATCCGCACATCCTGGCAAGGATTATCGTCTGCCTTGATTGTTCCTGCTGTTATACTCAGCAGGAGTAGAAGAACACGGAGTATAGAACTCATATCGAAGAATGCTGGATACAGCAAGTGGGAGCCATATTTTATAGCCCCTCTAATCAGCCAGGCAAAATGTCTTCGACTTAATTAAATAGATAAGCCCTAAAATGTCTTAGAAAAAACATCTACAAAATCATTTCGTCAAGTACCTCTTATAATTGCAAGGTAATTAGTAACTTAATCTGTTTCTGTGAACATAGATAAAAGTATACCAATAAGTAAGCATTACTTTTTTTAAATGGTCAACGAGAAACGAGGACGAAGATGGTTCTTCCGAGAACTTGGCATACTGAATTCCTCTACCCTTATCGCGGAGCTGATAATAACTAGAACAGTCTGTGGGATCCCCGAAAAACCCATATCTGTGATACTTTTTGAAGATTGCCAAAAAGAAGCATCGGTCGAAGTTTCCCCCGTGCTTCAGTCCTAAAAAGACCAAGCTTTCGGGCATTTATCAAATACAGAATTAACCAAAAAGTACTTCAAAATAAATTTTTAAGGATCACCGAATTTATATTTGTTGATTTTTTTAAAGAAACCATTACGATAGGCACATAACAACTTGAATAAATAAGAGCCTAATAAGTGATTCGCCCTTTTGATAATTTATTAAGGTTACTCTCTTGAAGAACAAGTAAAGTTAGCAAGTTCCCAGGACGCAGGAGGACAACTCGGGGCGGTAGTAGGTGCCCTCGGGACAATCCATGTGCCGCAGGCTGCCATTCAGGGCCGAGCAGTAGTAGTACTTCCGGCAGTCGTTTCCATCGGCGATCAGCCCCACGTGCTGGCAGGTGCTGGGCATCACGGAGAAGCCGTCATCGTTGGGGTCCACGATGACCTCCGAGTTGTCTTCCGAGTTGGGCGGCAGGACATTCGATCCGCTGCGGCAGACGTAGTCCACGAAGGTCTCCCCGTCGTTGCACCTGTGCAGCGAGGGATAGATGACGATAGTGTCGTTCAGATTCTGGTTCACCGTCGACTTGCACACGTAGAAGATGTTGGGGTTTGTGGGCCAGGGGGCCACGTGTCCGGCGTTGGGGCAGTTGTACTGCCGCTGCAGGCAAACCGAGTCGGTCAGGGTCAGGGTGCACTGACCCGTCCGCGCATCGAAGGCCTTGTCGTTGCCACAGTCCACGGCGGCGGCCACCAAGGTGGCGCCCACAAAGTAGCACATGTGGTACTTCTGGCAGTCGTACGGATCCGGGAAGATGCCCTGCGAGGTGCACTGGAAGTTGCCCTCGATCCCGAACGGGTGGCAGGGACCCGTCTCGTTGGTGCAGCTGCCCAGTCGGGCGTTGCAGTAGTATCCATTTGCCACGTCGCACGACTCCACGGGGATGTTCACCCAGCCATTCGAGTGGCGCACACAGGTGGCCAGCAGCTCGCAGGACTCGCAGATGGGTCCAGGGGTCTGGCGACCCTCGCAGGAGTTCGTTTCCCTCGGCTGGATGCGACGGGTGGTCACGGTGGCTGCCACTAAAGACGCCACTAAGTTGAGCAGTAACTGGAAAACAAGAATTTAATTAACACTTAGTTAATATATATTTTATTTATAAAGCAAAAACCTCTCGTTGGAAAAGTGCTTCAATAAAAGCATGGGTTGGATAACGGATTCTTAACCAACATTGTCTTGGTTTAATTATCAAAAATTTTAATTAAATTGGGATGTTTAAATACTAATGAGTATTATAATTAGCTATTTAAAAATCAAACAAATCATACCAGGCTCACTAGAAGATTCTTTGAGAGCATGATGACGTCTTCGGTTGTGTTTTCCTTTATTCTTAGTAAGTTCAGGTCCAACTCCCACGAGTATTTCCAATTGTCTGATTCCCAACTCCTCTGGTGACAGCAATAAAAGCCCCAAAATAGCAGACTTTAGATAGCGTTTTATATCTTTCGGGTGTCTGTTTGCCTATCTGCTTTCGAAAGTCAATGGGAGTTGGGCAAAGTGGCAATTGCTGCGACGATTCTAATTACAACAACTAGATTGGGATGCCGCAACGATGAGTGAGTAAGCTATATTTACCAATAAAAACGCTAGTCCCATTTAGAGTGGTTTTAAATGGGTAAACACAACGGGATTTTGCTTGATCAAAATATTTAGATTACCCTAAAGTGTTTGGTCGCAAATATTTGACTTTCATTTCTTTCAATTAATACAGTAGAAAAAACGACCCGACTTAAAATTGTGAATGTAAGTTGTCTAAATTTGATTTAAATAAGACAAATAAAACTGAAATTCTTATTGTCTTTGAAATTGTTGCAAAACATTTAAAAGGAGATAGATCGTTAAAATTGTAGTTTAAGTTTAACGGAAAGCCAGGTTTCCAACCCATGGCTAGGCGGAAGAAAAAGGTTGGGCTGTAAAGCCAATAGGTTTTGCTGGATTTTTTAGGGACTTCACGGATGGTCGAAGGCACAAACCATCTGGCAACGCCGAGCAGGAAAACAGGAAATCAGGATTCCCTTCCCACGCAAATAAAAGAACAAAGGATGAGCAAGATCCCGGGCAGCAATCTGGAGTTCGTCCGCGAGGAGGACTTCGTAGAGTACTACGTGTTCCCCAAGATACCGGACAACGTTCAAGATGAGGCCGCTCTGCGCAAACTGATGGTTCAAATTCGCAGCGAAATCTCGGCCATCGTGAAAGAAAAATCCATGGAGCGCAGCTATCTGTGGCACAAGGACGAGTTCCAGCTGCAAATCCGAATGGGCGGGGCCGAAGAGCGCTTGCTGAACGAGGAGACAAACCCGGAGGAGGAGGCGGATTTGGGTAAGCCGCTATAAATAGCCATATTTGTGCATACTAAATGCATTTTCCATGCCCCGCCCAGGTGACCTCCCACCCCATTTCCACGGCGTAACCCACTACGGCGACAACATCAGCGATGAGTGGTTCGTCGTCTATCTGCTTTCGGAGATCACACGTGCTCGCGGAGATTTCATAGCGCGGGTCAGCGATTCGGATGGGGAGTTCCTGCTCATCGAGGCAGCTGATGCCCTGCCCGACTGGGCTACTCCGGAGACCTGCGAGCGGCGGGTGTACCTCGTCAATGGCTGCCTGCAGCTCCTCCAGAACTCCGCCGCCAGCAGCCAAGACAAACCGATTACCATGGCTACGGCCGTACAACGTATACGAATGAATCCCACCCTGTATCGCTGCTCGCCGCAGATCCAGTCCTGCATTGATGTGCGGCTTAAGGAGTACCAGATCGCCCAGCCGCACTTCTCCATCCACCGCCAGGTTCTGGAAATCCCGCGCAGTGCTGCTCAGCTGCTGAAACACCGGCCACGACTTCTCTCCTCGGCAGTGCGAGCTTTCTGCGAACGGGATTCGCTGGATGTGAAGGCCCTCCGCACCATGCGCTATTTCCCACCCGAATCCGTGCGCGTGCGTACTAACGTGAGGTTCACCCGTTGTCTGTACGCCATGCTAACCCACCAGTCGTATCTCCCCGACCGGCGACTTGGGTGGAATCTCACAGATCCCTTAAACGAACCAGAGCGATTCAAAGAACAACTGCTGGGCGTCAAACTGGCCAGTGGTCTAGAAATCCTGGCCACGCAGGCCAAACGGCTGGAAAGCCAGAAATTGGAGGAGACGTCCGCCTGGCGCTCGTATCAGCGCAGCCTACAAAGCAAGGGTTATTTCCGGGATAACGTCGAGGGCAGTGCCGAGTACAATGAGCTGCTCAACAAGGCCAAGGACTACTTCCGCGGCAACCAGGAGCGCTTTCGCACAGCTTCGCGTGCAGGCGCCGAAATCCTGGACCTGTTGCTCCATCCCGCGGAGGCCGCTTTGCAGGAGCTGCGTGACGAGCAGAACAATCTACAGCCCAGCGACTCGGACGAATGGCTGAACATCAGCGCCGAGGATCTGGACTCCATGCTGCAGGATCGCTACGGACCCAAAAAGCTCTACAAACCGAACGGACAGGTAAATGCCGAGGAATTCACAAAGCAGCTGTCCGAGTTTCTCGACCGACAGTCCAACTACGAGGGCATTGAGCATCGCGACCACGGGGAGCCGGAGCTGGACTCCGACGACGATGAGCCGCCACCGCAGGCCAAGACCTCCTCGGGATTGGGGGCCAAGGTTAAGAAGAATGCCTCCATGCGGAAGGCCTGCCAGCGTAACTCGCTTATCCAGCAGGAGGAACCGGACAGCACCCATGTGCGGAACTTCCTGGACTTCGTCATACCCGAGGACAACTGGGACTCCACCTCCGAGATGAGCGACTATGCGGACGAGGACGACCTGGAGGGCAATCTGAACGCCCTCTCCGGCGGAGGCAGTGTTTTTCCACTGGACCGGCAGATTCAGTCTTACATGGAGCAAATGGACCGAGAACTGGCCCAAACCAGCGTGGGAAAGTCCTTCCACGGCAAGAAAAAGGCTGCTCCCCAGGCGGACGAGGACGATTTCGATGATATTGAGGACTTTGAGCCAATCAACATTAATGTTAATACGCTGCGCAACATGATGGACAGTTACCAATCGCAGATCGGCGGCGCAGGTCCCGTCTCCAACCTTTTTAGCGCCATGGGCGTTGGCATGTCGGCAGCTGGCGCGGATCAGGACCCCAAGGACATTTCCGAATCGACCTTGTAAACGGATTTACAGGAATTAGTGTTTAGTCTTAAGTTCATTCAATAAACGTAAATGTGAATATTTGATTGTAATTTAAAAAGAGTATTTTTATTTAAGCTACTTTTGATGACTAATCCTTTGATGCAGGCACAAAGTTTCCATAGTCGCGTCTGACCTTCATGGGCGGCTCGTTAGGAGGATCATTGCGCTGATTGTGGTCGTGGGAGCGCTTGTAGCCCCCAGATCCAGAGCCCAATCCTCCGCCTCCTTCATAGCGATCCCGACGGTCGTTGCGCTGATTATGGTCGTGGGAACGCTTGTAGCCACCAGCGCCCGACCCTCCGCCTCCTTCATTACGATCCCGGCGGTCCCTGTGCTCGAATCTGTTGTTCCGACGGTTGTCTGCGGGTTAAAATGGGTGAATAAGTTATATATAGTCTGAGCTCCCTGGGACTTACCCCTGAAGCCTCTGTCTTGGTTGTGGTTGTGGTATCCGGCTCCTCCTCTTCGCTGCCATCCCCTGTCGCCTCCTCCCCGGCGATGTCCGTTGTAGGGACTGTACCGGTGGCCGCCACCACCTCCTCCGCCGGAGAAACCACCACCTCCTCCACCACCGCCGCCCCCTCCGCCTATCCAGTTCTCCACAATTGGCGGTTCTGGCAGAGGTTTGCTGCAGTGTGCCATAAACTCCGGATCGTCGTCTGTGAAGCGATCTGCAAACTCGATTTCGCACGACTCAAGGAAGTCTACGTCCCTTTCTACTAGACGGTTTATTTTTCTATTCGGATCGACCATTTTTCTGAGATATCTTCCAATTTAATTTTTCTAGATTTGGTTTTCATATGTTTTTATGCTGGTGCGCCCAACAGCACTTTAGTGCTCACTAAACACAGCTGGTGAATGCGTTCAGCACATTATTAAGGCGCTTTAATATTCGTTACTATAACATCGGTTTTGGTAAATGCTCAGAATAGTGGCTCTTCTGAAAAAACGGTCAAATGTCGTAATATGTGTGTTTTTAAATCTTATTCACTAAAAAATACAAAAACAAAAAGAAAAAAATAGCATCCACCATTAAACACTTTTGCTAAACGCACCCATTAAGGAAATGTGAATGCAGTATTTTTGATCTCACCATAATGCGGTCACACTGCTCGGTGCACAAGTGCGAGGAAGTTTTTCCGCGGAAAAATGTCATTAATTAGCCAGACAAACAAATCCCCATGCTTGGCCCGCCACCAGTAGAAAGCAGAATATGTCCCCGCCTCGTTGTCACAGAGAATCACGGACCACAGCCCTCGCGAACGCCCAGAATCCGGAGGAGCAACACCGCGGAAGGAGCAGTTGCCCTTGGATATATTACTAGCCATGGAGCAATCAGTGTCCGCTCGCTGGCTGCGACGCTACCGCGCCTTTTTCCTTATCCTGCTTCTCATCGTGGCCATCCAGCTGTTCCTGGCATACAAATCCTTGGACATTGTAAGTGGGGGCTCCGGATCCGGGTTCGATGCGGCTGAATCGCCCGGCAGTCCACCTCCGCCACAGGCCCAAGCGCAGGAGCGGATCCATCCGCCCGCCAGGACCAAACTGACCGCCCAACAACTGGGTTTCCAGCCGGAATGTGACATCCTCTCCAGAGAGGCCATCTCCGCCCTGCAGCGAGCCAAAACGAAAGACTGCCGAGAACATATCGCGCACATTGCTTGTGCCATTCAAGCGGGACGCTTCTATGCTCCGCAACTCCGGAGCAGCTGTCCAGCGGGCAACTACACGGCCAATGTATCTCTTGGTTGCTACAAGGACGAGAAAGATCGCCGTCTGCTCGCCGGCTATTACAGCAGCTCTAAAACCTCAAATTCGCCGGCCAAGTGCGTAGAGCTCTGCCTCCAAAGTGGCTATCCCTATGCTGGTGTGCAGTACGGAAGAGAGTGCTTCTGCGGTTTTGATACGCCACCGAGTGCGGCAAAATTACCGGACTCCAGCTGCAACACAAAGTGTCTTGGGAACGCCAAGGAGATCTGTGGTGGTTTCTATGCCATGAACATCTACGAGACAGGCATAGCCAGTGAGTACTGTAGATAGATTGGATTCGCTTTAAGTACACCAAGTTCTTTACCATGATCTAATTTTATCAACATGTTATGCCTTTTTTTAGTTTACAATCAAAACTTAATCACAATAGTATTCTTATCAGTTTATGCATTTCTAAAACACTCGCCTTCTCTCGCAGAATTCAATGCCCAGGTGGCGGCCACCTCTCCTCCGGCGGGAACGAAGCGCGTGCGGATCGCATTTCTGCTGACGCTCAACGGCAGAGCGCTGCGTCAGGTGCATCGACTGCTGAAGGCTCTCTATGCTCCGGAACACGTATACTACATTCATGTCGACGAGGTGGGTCAACGGCCGGAACTCGGCAATTAAAGAGCGCTCAATTAATTGCGCTAATTTGCACAATTAACACACTGACGGCCAAAATAGTTGACTACTGAAATGGATTTATTTATGGTGCTGTAAACAGCGAACCAGCTAGATCAGAAATGCCATGAGCTACTTGGTTACTGGTTGTACACTATCTTGTTTAATACGTAAGCACTGACAGGCAGCAGTTAATTTACATTGTATACTAATTGCTCGGTCTAAGGTGATATATAAAAATGTCTACATTGTTGCTATAGGCTACATTTAATTTTTATAGTTATCTGCTGATTAGGTTTTAACATGCAATCATTTGTTTTTTTTTTATAGCGCCAGGATTACCTTTACCGAAAGCTGCTGGAGTTAGAGTCCAAGTTCCCCAACATCCGTTTGGCCCGCAAACGATTCTCCACAATATGGGGAGGAGCCTCCCTGCTCACCATGTTACTTCAGTGCATGGAGGACCTTCTGCAATCTAACTGGCACTGGGACTTTGTGATCAACCTGAGCGAAAGCGATTTTCCAGTGAAAACGCTTGACAAGTTGGTGGATTTCCTGAGTGCGAATCCAGGAAGGAATTTCGTTAAGGGCCACGGCCGAGAGACGCAAAAATTCATCCAGAAGCAGGGATTGGACAAGACCTTTGTTGAGTGCGATACGCACATGTGGAGGATAGGAGATCGCAAGCTGCCAGCGGGAATTCAAGTGGATGGAGGAAGCGACTGGGTGGCGCTATCACGTAATTTCGTGTCTTATGTCACACATCCCAAGGAGGACGACGAGCTACTGCAGGCTCTTCTCAAGCTCTTCAGGCACACCCTTCTTCCGGCGGAGTCCTTTTTCCACACGGTGCTTAGGAACACCAAGCACTGCACTAGCTATGTGGACAACAACCTGCACGTGACCAACTGGAAAAGGAAGCAGGGCTGCAAGTGTCAATACAAGCACGTGGTGGATTGGTGCGGATGCAGCCCGAATGATTTCAAGCCCGAGGATTGGACTAGGCTGCAGGCCACGGAACAGAAGTCGCTATTCTTCGCACGAAAGTTCGAGCCTGTAATAAATCAGGCTGTGCTGTTGCAACTGGAGGAGTGGCTCTACGGACCGTACACCAGCGAGTATGCCAATCTGCACGGCTACTGGCAGTCGCTGTATCACCATGAAGATGTCCATGGATCGGGCGATGATTTGGCCAGGAGCATTGGGGACAGCGTAATGCGTCTTTCAGCTCGTCAGGCTAAATTGGATGCCCTGGAGCTCATAGAACTCACCCACTACCTCCACCGGGACCAGTACAAGGGATTCCTGGTGCGCTATAGAGCAAGAGGATCTTCTGGGAAACCACTTCACGTGGAGACCCGAATTCGTCCGGTGCAGCAAGGAAAGCTGGCGAGGAACGCGCGCTTTAGCAAGAGATTACGTAACTTTGAGGTCTCGACGGACTTCGATCAGAAGGAACAGGTGGCCCGAAACTTTGGCAAGCTTTTGGGCCCCCAAAGCGACCTGCTTCTTAGCTATACACTCCAGGCATCTGCGGATTCGGCCGTAGAGTCCCACTCCTACAACCTCACCCTGCTGTGGATCGACCCGCTGGGTCGCCTACAGGACTTTAACGAACTGCATATCGAGGATTCCACCAGCGATGTGATAAACCACTCGAAAACCTTGCTCAAGCATCCAATCACCCCCGGAATCTGGACCACCAAGTTAATAGGCCGCAACTCAATTTATGCGCAGCTCAAGTTCCTGATATCGCCACTGGCATACTTCAAAGGATATCCCTTAGAGAAATCGTCAGAAGCTGCTGTGCTCAACGCTGGATTGGCCGTGGCGTTGCCAGAGGATTTCGAAATGCCTGTGGAGTGGCAGCAACATCTCCACACGGACGACGAGCAGTTCACCATGCGCGAGGAATCCCTAGCGAAGGGACGGATGGTGGGACAGGACCTGCACAGCTGGATTGACGGACTGGTAGCACAGTTCTTTCAACTCCGCGAGAGCTGCGTCGTGGAGATGGACTCGGAGATCTCTCTGCCCCTCTGTAGCGAGGTCGCCTGGAGTTCACTAGCCCCCGATCCAAAGAGCGATGTGGATGCTCTGCTCAAATGAGCCCTTGCCATTCATTACTTTTGTTATTAATTCTCTAGTGTAAATACTCGCCAAGATCTAGATGCCGATCCACAATTAACCAATTTTTTATAGCTCCTTTTTCTTCTTAACGTTTTCGTATAGATTGTTGTGATAATTGTGAACTTTTAAGCGCCATCTTGACTCGACGCGGAACTCCGCCGCTCCAATTGTAATTTGATTTTTTTCAATAATAGGGCATAGCATTTTTGATGTAGTTAAGTTAGTTAGGTTTGAACGCCTTGTAAATACGCAACGCACTGGACACCAAAAGATCGCATTGCAGCCAAAAATCGTGGAGGTTATCCGGAGTTAACTCTGTACATAAGGTTAGCTAGACGCAATTCCTTAACTAAGTCATAAGCTAGGGCACCACCAGATAGCAATTGAATCCGTTGTATTCACAAAGTTTCTTCGATTTTTTGATTCACATATCAAGTTATCCAAAATAAATGAGCAATTCTACATGTACTAAAAGCGGTCGTTCAATAATTCATTCTGCTTGAACACACGCCCCTTGGTGGAGCTTTGGGGCCGGAATTCCAGGTATTTGACGTATTCAGTAGGTTAGACTTAAGTAGACTTAAAGCCAAGGCTATTTGTACTGCCGTTCGCTGCTGGCGGGCAGCTTAGATGCAAAGATCCTCGTCTGGATCCTCCTCGTCGAAGTCATCGTCGGCATCGGGTGTGTAGATAATGTTGCCCTCAGAGGGCTCGCTGGTGCTGGAACAAAGGAAACAATGAAATGGCTGTTTTCAAGGATCATCGAAGCAAATTGCTTACCGTTCATATGGCAGGGTCAGTGCATTACGGGCCACCACTTCGTCCTCGTCTAGCTCTATTTTGAAGGTGCTGCTGGCTGGTTCTGGCGTTTGCTCTTCCTCTGGTATAGATTGTTTGGGTGATACACCTTCAGGAAGTCCTCCGTCCAGTGGCGTCACTTGAAACTGGGTTTTGCTGACCTGGCAAGAGAAGCGCCTGTTGGACACTCCGCCACCCGGCTTGCGGGCTATCAGTGAAAGTAGTTTGTCCGATTCCAGGCGAAGGACCAACTCGGCAAGGTACTCACACCCAGCCAAGATATAGGCGGAATGGGGATGCTGCAAGTGCTGTGGGGATGCCCAAATAAACACCCGACGCACGTGCTCTGAGCGACGCAGTCGGTTTATTAGGCCAAATATAAAGGCGGGCGATTGGTAGCACAATAGGTCGGCCAAAGTGGGCAGGATGATGTTAAATCCGGAGGGCTTTGATCCTGCACTATCTGCATCCTGGTCGCCGGTTTCTCCCGCCGGAGGGTTGTTATTGTTGTGGTTGCCGCACTCGTTGATCAGCGCTTCAAAGGTGGCCTCGTGCTTCAAGGTGACGCCAGTGGGCAGGGATTTGATGGTTTCCGCACCCTGTCCCTGTTCATGCAGCAAACTTTCGATGAACTTGAGGGCAATGCGCTCCCGATTTAGCTCATCTGTTGGGCAAGCAGATAAGTGGAGGGACTTGGTAATTGGCAGGCAATCGGGGTGACCTTTTTAGACTCACCTATTACGAGGACCACCTTTTGTTTGGTCACCAGCAGGTTGGAGAGCATTTTATCAGCATTTATTGTGAGATTATTTGATATTTTTATTTATATTGTGCTTTATAATGAAGCTTGATGAAGTTAAAGCTGAGGCGTTAGGGTTTTAAAGCTTTGTTGAGTCGGGCACACTGGCGACGCATGCGAAATCAGGGCTGGGCTGTGTACGGTTTTGATTATCAAGTTGAATTAAATACTTTTTATCAACATTGAAACCAAAAGCAGTATGACAATTTATTTTTTTTAATAAGCAAGAATTATAAATTAAATATTTTTTAATTTCAAATGATTGGTACTAATGATTGAAACTGCAGCCCTGGCTGTCCCGCTTTTTTCCAAATGAGTAAACAGACAAAAACAAAGCGAGGAAGCGGTTAAAAATATCAAGTTACAGTTTAAAAACCTTTAATAGTGAAAGTTTAACCTTGCCCTTGTCATGGTTATATTATATCAATTTCTTTGAATATGCCGTCCTTCAGTTGAAGTAATTGGGATAATGCTGACGTAGTAGAATTTGCACAGTATTTGTTTCTCTTTTGTTGCCAAAATACATATCTCTTTGTACTTGTGCGGTTCTTTTCTTCTCCGTTGAAATTGTGACTATTTGGAATTATTCCAAATTAAATATAATTATTCAAATAAAAACTTGAGTATACTTGGTAAGTTTATATTACATATTTTGTATTTAAGCCACGTCTGTAAACGTAGTTAACAAATAAATAGAATCCGGTAGCGGCTTTTCATTAATATCCAACAAGTGGTTTTTCTTAGTAGTGTGCGTGTGTTTGAAAGTTTGTTTGCATGAGTGTTTGTGTTTAGTTCCGTTCTGTGCTTCCAGGAAAAGCTCGTGGAAAAGCCAAATGGAAGGGCCCCCAAAGGGAAAGGGGCGGGACATTGGGGCTTTGACGCCCACACAGGCTTTGCAGAATTTTCACGGCTTTTCCTCCATATGGAAAACACAGCTTCCTGCATTTAAAGCAGTTCGTTCAACAAGTAAAGTGCGTAGAACTCAAAGCAAAAGAAAAATCGCGTATTTTTTCAGAAAAACCTCAGCGTCAAGTCTTTAATATAAGACTTTTTTATTGAGTGCTGAAGATAAGCGAGTGCGATATTAAAAAATCATTATCTGAGCAGGGCGAAGCATCATCGAGTATACGCCATGTTGTTCTCTTTGGGTGAGTCGAGTTGCACATACAGTCCAGCTTCCTTAATTTGAACTTCAACAAGAAAAGTATTAACAAAACTCTTTATTGTGGGAACTTTCACTAGTATAAGTAAAAATATCCCTTATCTATTAACACCACCGGATAAGACCAAGTAAGATATATGTATATCTGTCTCACTAAAATGCGTACTTTAACACCTTTATGATTCCTCGATACTTGTATAAAATAAGTTCAACTTATGCTTACCCAACTGCATTTATCCAATTTATATGCATAGAACATTAAAGTCAAAGTCGCAATTGAAATGCGGCTCAGTGACAATAGTTTGAATAGACCAGAGGAATGCAAAATGCAAAAAAAAAGGCATCAATGCACCCCCTTTTCCCACCAGAAAGGAACAAACTGGTCCGGCATACTAACCAGCATTGCTTGGCACCCAACCCCGCTAGAATCCGCACCAAAAACCAAACAATTATCCACACCGAATTAAACAATATGTGCGATATCGCATGCGAGAGATTCGCGTGGGGGCAAAAGCTCTTTTAACCATCGCCGGGCGGCGGCTAAAAACTTTAAATTCAGTTGCGCATTGCACGCCGAGGTGTTCGGTTGTTTTTAACCAGAGTGTGCCGTGTTTAGTTAGAGTAGTTAGCTACTAGTGTTTTGGTGTGCTGTGTCTTTGGGCAATTAACGCTTGCCATTATTGCATGTGTCTCTGTTGTGAACCATTGGCGAACTATTGATTAATCAGTGCACAGACCATGTCGAAGGACTCGGACGTGGAGCAGGCGACGAAGCCGGAGGGTGGAGTCATTCAGCAGCAGCCAGCAATTCCAGAGGAGCAGCCAGGAGCCACCACTCCCACAACAGTGTCCACCACGACCACGGTGATCGCGGTGACCAATGGGGAGAAGCCAGTGGAGGTGACATCAGCCTCAGTAGCAACTGCAGCAACTCCAGCAACACCTGCAACAGCAGAACAAGTGCAACCTGCAACAACCATTGCTGGCATTGAATTGGCCACACCAACGGCAACGTCAACATCAACAGGTAGACGGTGAATGGCATTGGTTTTCGGCTGCGAGTTTGATTAGTGCCAAAGTAAAACCAACAAGCTGCCACCAGCCGCAAACAGCCGAGTGTTTAGTTTTAGTAAAAGTTAAAGCAAAACGCACAGCAAAGCAGACTGCGAAGCCTGCCACCTCTCCCCGCTTTTCACCGACCCACCATCACGATCGGCCACTAGCTGAATTTCACTTTAGTTTTCCAGACTTTATTTATTTTGTGCGCTTTTCCAAAGTCGTCATATTGCCCGGGTTTTACTTTCTGTGCGCCTATGTAGATTGTTTCTTTCAAATTTTGCGCACGATCTGCTGCAACGCTTTGCTGGCCAGCGTCTTTTGGCACGCCCACTTAACCCTAATAATTAACAGTCATAATCGCAATTAATGCGCCAATTAATTTCCTTCGCCCAGCCAAGAGCCCAAGTCAACAAACGCACTCAAATTGAAGAAGTTCAAACCATTGAATAACTGAACAACGCGTGGCTGCTGCCAGTTACCAGCATTTATAATTACGACTTGGCAGCCACAAATGTCTCTGGCCCACTTATCAGCCAATTTACAAGCTTACACCTCGCAGGCTGGCTTATTTACAATTCGCTCGAGTTGAAATCGAAACATCATTTGCATACCAAACTTCAATTAGGGCGGCTGATAGAGGGCCCTTATCAGGTGCATCTGCACCTCCAAAGTTTAGGAGCACGGGAATAACTTACAATTTATGTAACCAAAATGTGTTTTTCTCTAAAGCGCAAATTAAAATAAGTTTTCAGCAAGGCTAAAAGAAAATTTTTAATTTTTGGCTTGAGTTTGTGCTATTTATTTTTTCCAGGCAGACTAATGTTTTTATTTGCCTTTATTTTTATCTTATTTATCTCGAAGTCAAATATTTGGCCACTACCCGCACTTTCAAATGTGTAGAACTTTTAATTTATTAAATGTTCGGCAGTACAACATCAAACGAGAGAAACTTGCACGATGCTATTTAAAGCGATTTAGTATCAGATGGTTATACTATCTCGAGAACAGGTTGATAACACTTTTTTTGCCTGCCAGACAGATAAAGTGCGGCGAAAGCGCTCCGCTTGCACAAATTATGTTGGGTAAACAGTCGCACATGTTTACCCATAAATTAGCCAAATTAAACCTGATGAAAGGGGTTTAACCCACTCTGTGGGTGTGTCCGACTGCCTGGGAACAGGGTTTCCCCATAAATTTCACCCCAAGCGATATTTTAGGATCTTGTTTACGGCAGTATCGTATTGCCGGCGACACAGGAACTGTTTGTTTTCACAACAAATGCAGCTGCCAGTGAAACGGATCAGATGTACGGCCATAAAGCGGGTTCAAGGGAGCTTACATGTACCGAAAACGTCTGGTCATGCGTTATCAACAAGTGTTTGGGGGATATTTTAATCTTTGTGCACGGACCCCAGGTGGAAAATGTAATTGGGCAGCGGTTACGTACGAAAAGCCATAAACCAAAAACATGGAATTTATATATGAGTGCTCGAGTCCCCCTGCCCAGCCCCAAATATCACCACTCTTGAATGAGCTCAGCGATTAGATCGCTGAGAATGCGTGCTATGCGTAATGGGATCTATTTATAACTCATCCCAACCGTTTTCTTGGTTTTTCAGGCAGTGGTAAGGCCAATATGGATCCAGCACTGATCAACTTCAAGGTGCTCTACGTGCTGACCCAACTGTGCGGCCTGACGATGATCGTCCTGGTGGGCACCTGGATCGGCCAGCACTTCGGTGGCCTGGGAGGCACCGCCAATCCCAAGCTGGAGTTCAACTGGCATCCGCTGTTCATGACCATCGGCTTCATCTACTTGTACGGCAACTGTGAGTAAATGCAGCGGAAGAGGTGCCACTGCAGCAGTTGACTCCGCTCCCATTGATTAACTCCATAATGGTAATCCCACAGCCATTCTGATCTATCGCGGTTTCCGCACCACGCGCAAGAAGACACTGAAGCTCACCCACGCCGGCATCCACATGGCCGCATTTATTTTGACGGTGATTGCCCTGAAGACGGTCTTCGATTCGCACAACCTGGCCAGTCCGCCCATCCCGAATATGTACTCCCTGCACTCGTGGCTGGGTCTCTCGGCGGTGATCATCTTCTCGCTGCAGTATGTGGCCGGATTTGTGGCCTTTTTGGCGCCGGGATTGAGGGAGAACTACAGGATCGCCATGATGCCGCTGCACATCTACTTCGGACTCTTTGGCTTCGTTCTGGCCATCGCAAGTGCCGTGATGGGTCTCACCGAGAAGGCCATCTTCGCCATGTAAGTGCAAGTGCTTTATAGATAAAACTTTGAACTGAGATTTATCCCTTTCTTTAGCACAAGTCCACCGTATTCCACTCTGCCGCCTGCTGGTGTCTTGGCCAACGTGATCGGAGTGCTGTACGTGGTTTTCGGAGCGCTGGTTGTTTACCTGGCCACTGAACCCGCCTACAAGCGCAAGCCAATCCCCGAGGACACCGCCCTACTCAATTCCAGTTCTGCCAACGAGTAAGAACTACAAACAGACCCAATCATGCTTACTTAAGCTCAAAACTGTGCACAAAACCAAACGAAACCGAAACCTGATCACACGGATGGTGCTTTTGCTGTCGGAGACGAAGACGCGTGTATTATCTGTAGCAAGTACATAACTTAATGACTATGTATAATTCCGATCTATCCACATACGTATACTTGGATCACCAGTTGTGCAAGGATTTCAGCGAGCGCTCAAATCGAAACGTATTTAACCTCATGAAGAACATTTGCTTTGAACTGTACGATTACATCTGTCTATGTGTGTTATGTATGCTTAAATAAATCTATATTAATACAAGTCGCCGGTGATGAGGATGCCTCCCTTTTGGCGCTCCAGTTCCGACTCCTCCTCCAGCTCTTCTTCCTCCTCTCCCCCGTCGTCCTGCTCCTGTTCCTGATCCTGTTCTTGTTCCTGTTCCTCTTCCTGTTCCTCAGAGGTGGAGGACTTCTGGGCATCAACGTTCGGTGTAAATGATAAGGTGTCAGTGAGCGTGCTCTTGAAGCTTTTCGCACTCATGCTCTGCTGGTCGTGATCGTGGAAAGCCATATTCTGATCTATAGCCACCAGGTATGTGGGCACCTTGCCCACTCCCTTGACTTCCGTGTGAGCCCGGTAATTGCAGCGGATATTGAACTGTCGCAGCACCTTGGCCGTGTGCCGTGTCACCTGGATGTTGTCCAGCAGTCCAGTGGAGGTCATCCGCGAAGCCATGTTGACGGTATGGCCCCAAATGTCATAGTGGGGCTTTGATGATCCAACAACTCCTGCCATCACGGGTCCATGGGATATGCCTTAAAAAATAAGTAACGTATAAGCTCAAGGTATTCCGAATGCAGTTTAGTTGATCGCACCAATCTTGAGGCTGCCCTCCGAAAAGGAATCATACTCGGAAAACTCAAAGTTGTAACGAATATCGTACATGATGCGCAACAAATCCAAGGCAAACTCGGTCATCACCAGAACGGAGACATCCTCCGCTTGAGCAAAGGGCTGGCTGACGGCATCCCCACTCATCTCATCGTCCTCGGTGCTTCCAAAGTGTACAGTTAGTACTATACAAAAAAATTATAATAAATTTAAAAGAACAAAAGTATAAACCAATAAAGTGAATTTACCACTAGATCTGCGTTTCCCTTCAGTTTCAGTGTCGGGTTGAGCGACTGGAATGTCGATCGCGAAGTCGGTGTAGTGATCCACCTCGAGGCCACAGGCTGCCATGTAGGTCCAGTCCATCACCTTTATTTTCTCAATCTTATACCTGGATTGGTAGTTAACCAACAGGTCGTCGAAACAGCAGATGATCTCATGCAGAATCCGGAGACTCGCCGTGTCCGCATTGAAGTTCTCGATGGAGGCGAACATGACGGCCACCTTGGAGAAGTTTTCGTAGTACAGCTTGTCGTTGGGCCGCCGCACTTTGTATACCTCAGCCACATGGGACGGCAGGATATTGGCCATAATGATCTTGATGGAGCGCAGCTTGTCCTGCGTCTGCTGGTGCGCCTCCTCGTAGTAAATTCGCATCCTAAACACAGGGGTAAGTGAAATATAAAACTATCTTAACTCACTTAACTTACAGATAGGAAACCTTTTTCATGTAGTTGAGGTGCCGTTCTCGGAGCACCAAGACAATGAAGAATGCCAGCACGTACCAGGTGTGGGCATAGTCCGCCTTGAGACCCAGATCTGTGGTCTCCGATCGCTCAAAGGCGAATCCGTAGTAGAAATGAACGGTGCCCAAGTGAAGACCAACAATAACGAAGCCCATGATCAACTTGAGCAAGAACGGACAGCCCATGATGACAAACAGCAAACTCAGCACAAGAATCACACAGTAAGTCACAGACTAAAATGCTATGCCTTTAAAGATAGAATTTTATGTGGTTAATTTCTTACCCAAGGTTCCAAGCAATCCGGAAAGGCCCTTTGTTCATTCAGATGCGCAGTAATTATTTTCATCTCCAGCTTAGCTATATCGCAAGTAAACTTTAAACAGATTGTATAAGTCGGAATCGGATTTGTGTGAACAAAATACATACAACTGTCAGCGAGGACATCAGATAGAGTAGGAGCAGCACCACAAATGCCAAAGGAACCCTTACAAACAGCGAATCCTCGATGCGTTCCGATGCCCTTAAAAGCCAGCGACTCAGGAAACACGATGGCCGCGACATGGGTGAAAGTGACTTCCTTTGCAGGCTAAGTTTCTTGTAACCAGCCAGAAAGCACAGAATAAGCAATAGGAACAGAATTCCCAGCATCACAAGCAAATTAGAGAATTTGGTTCTAGCGTTTGGAATCTATGTTTCAGGATCTGTAGTGAATTGTTCAAGTGATAAAGACCCACGTTCCGATCCAGTTGATGCACATGATTGCGAGTCCGACAAAGAACGCCCACAACATGGAGTACTTTATCATCAGGTCCGGTGTGTTTTGGAATCCCCACTCCCTCTTCCAGCTGCGAAACACCCCGAGAAAGAAGTGGGCTCGGGGGTTCAGCATCAACTCCCGGTTCTTCTTGACCGGTTTGTTTCTCTTGAACTTGAAGAAACTGCGACCCACCACCATGTGCTCCACCTCCCGCCTCAACTCGCGCTGCGCCCTGATCTGGATATCCTCGTAGACGCCGCCGTAGCTCGATCGAGCCGAGGCGACGGAGGCGTTGCTGAACTCGGTGTCCAGTTCGCCGGACTCCACGGGATCGGGCAGTCGGCTGCTGACCAAGTAGGTGCGGATGTTGGCGTGCTGCAGAATGGGATCGTTCTTGGCCGCCTCGGTTCCCTCCTTGAACACATAGTGCTCGTCCAGCATGCTCAGTGTGCGCTGGGATACGTGGACCAGTCCCGGCATTCCTGACGTCTCCAGCCGGTTGGTGATGTCCACGTCCTTCGACCAGATGTCAAACTGCCACTTGGTGTGCCCGATAATGCCAGCGAACACCTCGCCCGAGTGCACCCCGATTCGCAGATTGATGTCCAGTTCTCGCTGGTTGCTGATCTCCTGTGTAATGCGGATCATCTCGAGCGCCTGGTCCACGCAGCAGGAGGCGTGGGCGGGAAAGTAGTTGGGGATCCCCGCCACACAGTTGTAGGCATCGCCCAGGAACTTGATTCGCATCGCCCGATTGCGTTTGGCAGCCAGGTCGAAGTTCACGAACAGGTCGTGCAGGATCTCCACAAGCTGCGGTGCCTCCAAAGTGGTGGTCAGGTGGGTGAAGTTCACCATGTCGGCCACCAAAATGGACACCTCCGGGTAGGGTTCCAGAAAGAGTTTTCTATAAAAGAAAACAAATTATAAAGGAACTAGCACATGCGGTCAGAAAGTTAGTATTTCCAAATAGTTTACCAGATGTTCAAGATCTATTATCTGATTACCTTGTGCTGGCTTTACGTGGAGTAATATCGTCATCCTGATCTTCCATGCGGTTGTCGATTTCCTCGAGCAGAGTGCGTATCATTCTGCGTGGAAGGATTGACTCCAACAAAGCATTCTCCTTCTTCATTACGGTCTACACAAACCGAATTATAAAGTATTATATTATAATAATCTATTATTAACATTAATATTATATTATTATAAATAAGGATTTACCTGGTAGACAATGTTTTGGTACAGCAACTGGTACTGACTGAGTATCGCTCGCCGGAGCTGGTACTCTCGAATCATGATGAAGTACGAAAAGATGAGGTTCAGGAAAAGAATATAAATCGCATATGAGCAGAGCAGGGCAGCCGAAATCTGATCGTTAAGGTATTGCATCCATAAAACGTAGCCGATATAAATTATGGAGACAGAGAAGCCCAGAATATATACTCCGTAGCCCTTGATGAACGCTATGGGTAGAGCCATGTAGACGCAGACCAGCACTATGTGATCGTAGCAGGGAACAATCGGGTAGACGGAACCAATGTAGAGGGCCGCCAGAAGATCGGAGAGAATGTCTGCGCGGGAGGTTCACTTGGGATCAGACAGGCAGTTAAAGTATGGACACCTTACCCATTAAGGTTATCAACAGGGCCATCACCCAGGAGATGACCAAGTTAGTAGTTGTTTTAGCGTCATCGTCCATGCTGCCCAGCATAATAAATGGAGTGAAAAACATTACCACAAAATAGGGAATCAATAGAACCAGTGCGAGGTTCTGAAATCAAGCTTCTAAAGATTAGATATAAAAAAAATCATGCGAGCTAACCTGAACTAAGCTGAGCACCATTATCACATGGAAGATCATAAGGATTTCTATGTTCGCTACCATGCGACCAACATTCGATGACATAATGAGCTCCCTATAACGAGAGCAGGCCAATTCCAGACGCAGATTTTCGCACTTGTTCTAAACTTGGGGGTTGATCAACTGAAAGCCACCTAAAATGGTTGAGTGATCTACCTTTAAATGCCGCCACTCCAGACCCTTAATGTTGCTCAGTGAGCGGTAGGCCACCACATCTTCTTGGTAGTAGGGAGACTCCATTTAGAGGCTTTGAATAAATCAGAGGGTGAATGTTCTAGAGATGAAAACAATTTTATTTCGCAACAATGTTAATTTGACTTATAAGGCTAGGAATAAAGCTGGCCCAATTTAACCTTCAAACTTTTCTTTTTTTTTTTTAGGGGTTTTTCTTTCTTTCTCATCTATAAGTTCCACGGAAATCAGGCTGTCTTTGGATGAATCGTTAATCTTGTAGTGTTCCTGAAACTGCAGTTTCTGGTCCAAAGCCACCAGGTAAGTGGGTACCTCGCCCACGCCCTTAACATACGTCTGTCCCCGGTAGTTGCAGCGGATGTTGAATGTCCGCAGAATCTTCGAGGTGCTCTTGGTCACGTGGATGGCATCGAGCACTCCGGTGGAACTCATCCGTGAGGCCATATTCACCGTGTGGCCCCAGATGTCATAATGCGGCTTCGAGAGTCCAACTACACCAGCCATTAGGGGTCCATTCGCAATGCCTGTCATTAAATGTTCAAGAAAATAGAAAATAAAACTGCAGATGCAGTTTACCTATTTTCAGGCTGCCGGTCACCCTGGAGTTAGCACCGAAGAGCACATTTTTAGACCGGATTTCGCGCATTATCCGCAGCAGATCTAAAGCAAATTGAGTCATAACCAAGATGTCTTCATCCTTTTCTGCAGCCCCGTTGAACTCTTCCTCATCGATTGGTAGAGAACGCACAGATGCTAAGGATTGGTTCTGAGTAGCTAAGAAGTAGTTAAGAGATAAAGAAATTTACATGACTTTTGGGAATTCTCCGATTCTCGATCGGACGAAACAGGAATAATTATCGCAGGGTCAATGTTGTGGTCTACTTCTAGGCCGCAGGCCACTATGTACGTCCAGCCCATCACCTTGATCTTCTCGATCTGGTTCCTTGATTGGTAGTCGACCAAGAGGTCGTCAAAGGTGCAGATGATCTCGTGCAGAACCCGGAGCCCCGACATATCCGACTCGTAGTTCTCGATGGTGGCGAACATGACGGCCACCTGGGAGAAGTTCTCGTAGTACAACTCGTCACTGCGGCGAGGCTCCTTGAAGACCTCTGCCACGTGGTTGGGCAGAATGTTGGTCATGATGATCTTGATGGAGCGAGATTTGATCATGGTTTCGTGAACTCTCTTCTCGAAGCACACCCGCATGCTAAAGAATATATTGTTTAACTATCTCCCAATAAAAAATAAGTAACACACTTACAAGTAGCTGACTTTTAGGAGGTAGTTGAGGTATCCTTCGCGAACGGTTACCAAGATCCAAAAGGCCACCACGTACCAGGTGTGGGCCAGGCTCGATTCCAAGCCCACGAAGGTGGTTTCCGACCTTTCGAAGGCGAATCCGTAGTACTCGTGAACCGTGACCAAATGTAATCCCAAAATGGTAAGACCGACGCACAACTTGATGAGGAGTGGAACACCGATGATTATCAATATCAGACTGAGCACCATGACCACTGAATAAGTGATTTCCTTTTAAGTAAAAAAAGTTTAGTTTCGATAATTAAGTGTGTTTTCCGAGATGCCCACCCAGGGAAAGAAGCAAAACATCCTCGGCTCTAAGTCGTGCAGCTCGGAGTCTATGATTTCTACTTCCAACTTCGCTATGTCACAAGAAAACTGTGTGAGGTGAATTTTTAAAGCGGATCTGAAATCTGAGGAAATTACAATACGCACCACTTCCTGCGAGGACATGACATACAGGATGAAGAGCATTGTCATGGCCAATGGAACGCGGAGATACACCGACTGCTCGATGAGATTGGAGGCCTTGATTAGCCAGCGAGTGAGGAAAGAGGACGGTTGTGTTGGCGGGGTAAGTCGGCGACCCAACCAAAGTTTCTTGAAGGCAGCCAAAAACAGGACGAACAGAATTATTGAAAAAAACATAATTAGGGTGGGGTAGTAAACAGCATCGATCCTGGGGAAAAACAATCAGAAGCCTCTTCATTTATAAATCTCCTTTCCTTTCTCACCCTTGAATCATATTTACGCAAAGGAATGTGAATCCAGCATAGGCCACCATCACCAGGCTGTACTTCATCATCTGATCCGGCCGCTTGCCAAAGGACCACTCCATTTCCCAGCTGCGAAAGATGGTGAAGAGGTAGTAGGTGTTCACGTTGAACTGGTACTCTTCGTCGAGGTCCTTTTCTTTATTCTGCCGCTTTGTCCTAAACTTGCACGACTGCACTCGGTTCACCGGTATGTGTTCCACTTCGTTGACCATTTCGCGCTGAGCCTTCCGAACGATATCTTCGTAGTCGTTGCCGAAATAGAGTCGGTAGTCCTTCAAAGAGAAGTCGTCGTCCTCGAATTCCTCCGACTCCACGTAGTCGGGAAGGCGACTTTTTATCAGATAGGTTTCAAGATTGTTTAGCTGCAGAACAGGATCAACTTTGGCCGTTTCGGTGCCATTCTCATACTCGTAATAATTGTCCAGTAAATTGAGCGTCGTACTGGACACGTGGACCATCCCGGGAAGTCCCGAGGCTTCCAGTCGATAGGCGATGTCCACGTCCTTCGACCACACGTCGAACTGCCACTTGGTGTGCCCGATGATCCCCGCCATGATTTCGCCCGAGTGCACCCCGACCCTCACCTCAATCTTGTGGCCGCGCCGCTGGCTGACTTTTCGGCTCAACTCGATCATGTCCAGAGCCATGTTCACACAGGCGTTGGCGTGGGCGCCGAAGTAGCTGGGAATCCCGGTGACGCAGGTGTAGGAGTCCCCCTGGAGCTTGATGCGGGTTGCCCGGTTCCGGTTGGCGGCCAAATCGAAGCTGCTGAAGAGCTCGTGCAGGGTGGTCACCAGTTCCGGCACCGCCATTGTCGTGGTCAGTCGCGTGAAGTTCACTATATCCGCCTCCAGAATAGAAACCTCGGGGTGGGGTTCCATAAACAAGAGACTGGGAGAAAGGGGTTTATCCAGCTTAAGTATCTAATTTAATCTGATTTCTGATACCTACCGAGTCTTCGAAAAGGGCACTAAATTATTTGGATCCTCTTCGATGTGGGTGGTGATGGCATCCTGCAAGGTGCGGGCCAACATTAAAGGCATAATCGAGTGCAGAAGGGCCTTCTCCTTCTTCATGGCCACCTGGAAAGAGCGTTACCTGAAAGATTACTAAATCAAGACCATAAGCTCTTACCCACCTCATAAACCATGTTCAGGTACAAACTCTGATAGCGAGTGAGAACAGAGCGTCGCAAGTTGTACTCACGAAATCCGAGGAAGGATACGCACATCAGGTTCAGGAAGAGGATGTACATTACGTAGCCAACAAGCTCACCCAGTTTGTGCTCGCTAATCTTCAGGAGCATCCACACTGCGTACACAATGTACACCAACGAAACCACGAGGCCCAGAATGTGAACCCTTTCGTTGCCCAAACAGCCAATCGGCAACATCAAGTAAACGAGGACGATCGCCACGTGATCGAAGTTTGGCTTCAGCGCAGAGTTCAAGTAGAGCGCCGGAATCAAGTCTAAGTGGAAATAGCTTTCAGATGATGGAAGTGGGATTCCCTAACTATTCGCAAACCCGTGGTTATAAGGAAAAAGGCCACCAGCCAGCTGCCCAAAATGGCCGAGCGGTGGTAATGCTCGTTGTTGGGATCCCTGCTGGCCAACAAGAAAAGTGGAGTGAGCAACATGACCGCCAAATAGGGCAGCACAGTAATCAAATTAATATCCTGCAAAAGGGAGTAACAAGTCTGGGAAAGCCATCTTTACAGGGTTTATAAGCATCCTTACCTTGACCAAGCTGAACAGCAGAATCACGTGAATGAGCATCAGAAGTTCGACGACAATAATGACTTGGGGCACTAGGGCAATTGAGAGCAATTGGCCGAGTCGTTGGTAAATGCCCTCTAGTTTCAAATCACGACACTTGTACTGGAAGAGAGATATAAATATTATAACCCTTTCTCTGAGACATGTCTATACCCGCAGGAGCTTCCACTCTAAACCCGGCATATCGCTCAGCAAACGAAAGTCCATCACATTTTCCTTGTAGCCCGGGAAATCCATTTCGGTATATTATCTACAGAAATATTTATATTAATATTTATTGCCTATGTGTACAATGTTTAGACGTAAAAGTAACGAATAATATGTTCGACTTAATGTATGAGTTTATGAGTTTACGAAAACTGTCAAGAATGTTGTACAGACGAGCTTTTACTTCAGCGCAAGTGAACATTTTTACTTTTATGGCAAAAAGTATGCAACAACTCAGAAGTCAGTATCAAAAGTCAGTAATTTAAGGCTACTCCATAAAACTAATTCCCGTTAATTATGCTAGGTTAAATTCAGAAGGCACTGATTATTATTTATAGTTTTTCGAAAATAGTTTGATTTTAATTCTTCCACAATTGACTAACATTAAAGATCACCTCAACTCAGAAGAGTTGGGGTCTAGTTTCTACGGATTTTATGTACACGGATTGCTTAGGTCTATTATTGTCTGGTAAATTCAGCTAGTCTTCTTTGTTTGGCGCAGGTGGGCGGTGGGGCAGAAACTGGTATTCGCTGTCGATGCCGATTAGGTAGGTGGGAATGTTGCCACGCCCCTTGACGAAGGTCATGCCCCGATAGTTGCACTGGATGTTGAACTCCCTCAGCTTGAGAGCCGTGTTCTCGGTGACCTGGATCTGGCCAGGCACTCCGGTGGAGTCCATCCGCGAGGCCATGTTCACGGGATTGCCCCAGATGTCGTAGTGCGGCTTCGAGTTGCCCACCACTCCGGCCATGGCTCTGCCGTGCGAAATGCCAATCCTCAGCATCCCGTAGTCGGTGCTGCCCTCGTACTCCGTCTGCATGTTCTCCGTGTTGAACCGCCGCATGGTCCGCATCAGATCCAGGGCGAACTCGGCCATCACCCGGACCACCTCGCTGCTGCTGGTTCCACTCTGGGTGGCACTCATCCTGGGACCACTCGAGATCACATTGCCCTCGTACTGACCCCGTTCCAGATCGAGATCCAGGGCAATGTTGCTGCCGTTTCCATAGGGCACCCTCTGCACTCCGTCAATGTTGGAGTTACGTGCTCCGTCGTAGCGGCTCCTTCGTCCGTTCGGCATCAGGGACACATTGCGGAACTTCATCTGGGGAGCATTCACTTGCTCCGAACGGGAAACGTCGAGACCGCAGGCCGCCATGTACGTCCAGTTGGCCACCTTTATCTTCTCCACTCTCAGACTCTGCGAGTATTTGTTTAGCTAGAAGACGAATTAAAGGGTGAACTGTTCAGTTTAAAATCAATAATATTATATTTAAAATACCACATATTTTATACAGTACAGAAACATGCCAGTATTCTTATTAGTAAAGTATTCCTCTTCAAAGGAAACCAATAACCATTTATCTCACAGACTAGATAAAAGCTCACCACTATCTGTAGTAATTCGACTCACACTTTGGATACAACGCTCTGTTCTCGACTAATGTTTGATAAGATTGCCATACTAAGTTGCAAAGTCACTAAATTTAGAACCTACGTTTCTGTAGGGGATTTACCGAACCCTTTGGCAGTCTACTCACCACATCGTCAAAGTCGCAGATAATCTCATTCAGCACACGCAGTCCGATTTTGTCGGTGTCAAAGTTTTTGATTGAGGCGAACATTACGGCCACATTGTCGTACTCCTCGTAGTAGAGCTCGTTCTGCAGCTGGTTTGAAAGGTAAAAGTCGGCTGAATGGGAAAAAAAAGGGTGTTAATACGGAACATTTTATTGGTCGAGTGAAAAACCTACCAACGTGAGTGGGCAAAATGTTGGTGAGAAGCACTTTAATGGTATCATTCGTGATAAGGGCATCCTCCTGCTTTTTCAACAGCTGCCTTTTCCAGCTGGTAAATATTATCAGTGTGAATAATTTGTGACATATGCTATAGAGTTACTGGCATTACTTGTAATCCACTTTGGCAATGAACTCGGTTTGGCGTTCCATCAGGTGAAAAATGCCCAGTGTGATGATCATCAGCAGGATGTGCGAGTACTTGGCATTGAAGTTGACATTCGTGGAAGGACTGCTGGAATAGATATAATTAAATTCAAATACCACCAGTACCGCATAGGCAATCGTTATCAGGGCGGAGAAGCAGGACTTTATGATGAAGGGTATCCTTGTGAACAGGAACGACATGCCGATAATCAAAGTCATGCAGTTTGTGAGGATCTACAAAGAAATGAAACGATGAAATAAAAGCGTTTATAATTGGTTGAAGGGAGTCGCCCACCCAAGGATGAAAGCACTGCAGCCGTTCTTCGTAGCTTGGTTCCAAATCAGCATAATCCTCGTCGCTGTCACATCCAACCACTTGCATTATGGCCACAGCACAGTAAGAGAAAATGATCAGGAAGTACATAATGATCCGGATGACCACGTTGCGCTGCATCTCGTCGGAAAGGCGGAACAGGAATCCACTAAGATTGCCATTCGGGGAGGAAACTTCCGCATCGGACATGTACATGATCCAGAGTTTCTTGTACCAGGACACAATCAGCAGGATGGTGAGCAGGGATATCGTGGTGCCATCTATGTACCAGTAGTGATAGCGAGCACTGCAAAAATATATATTTAAAAATTTAAATACATGTTCATCGAACATATTATGGATGGATTTACTCCTTGCTCAGCAGCTGGATGGTCAGCAGACCCACGTAAATTGCCCAGGATAAGGCGATGCTGTACTTGAGCATCACATCCGGCTCCTGCATGTACTGGAACTCCCAGTTCCGGATGCGGAAGAACAGGCAGCAGGAGCTGATGTTTCGTCGAAAGGTCTCCTCCTCGATTTCGTCCTGGGTGAGCCGTGTGCTCCGCCGGAATACTTTCGTGAGTCTGAAACATATAGGGTGTATATAGGGATATATATAGAGCTTCAACTCCACTTACTGTATCCTTCCGATGGGCATCTTGTCCAGCTCGCGGCACATCTCCAGCTTGGCCTGGTTCCGCACCTGGTTGTACTGATGCAGAGTGGAGTTGTGCATGAAGTTGGCCTTGCTGGCCTCGCTGAGCTTCTTGGCCTGGCGCTCCCTCATCCTGCGACGCGGATCGTGCATGGGGGCCTACAACTTTCGGTTCGATGTAATTATGCTGGCGAGGATTGGATCGGGATTCGACCGGGGAATACTCACGCGCAGTGTTCTTATCAGGAAGGTGCGAATGCCGTGCTTCTGCAGCACTGGATCCTCTCGAGCCTGTTCGGTGCCGTCCTCGAAGAAGTACTCGCCGTCCAGAAGGGACAGGGTCTTCTGGCTCACGTGCACTCGTCCTGTGGCTCCCGTGGCCTCCAGTCTGTTCGCTATGTCCACATCCTTGGACCAGATGTCGAACTGCCACTTGGCGGCTCCAATTACGCCGGACAGAACGTCGCCGGAATGGACTCCGATTCGCATGTCGATGTTCAGATGTCGCTTTTCCCTGGCAAGTAAAGAAGAAGTTCGAATATTACCCTTTCAGTTTTTAGTAGTAGAAATAAAACTTTAATGGCTTTTACTATCTTTTCTTTGAACTTACTTCATAGGTATTACCAAATATATTAATCAAGACTCACGCAAACTTAAATTTCTATTGGCATTTATGGGCTAATGGGCACCGCAATAAATTATTCATTCGAATTTGTATGTCTTATCAAACTTGGCAAGGTTAGTACACAAATTATGAGCTCATTTTGTTGACGAACGTTCATTCAATAAAAATGTTAAAATGCAAACTAAGGGAAAAAAACCCTTTGCTTAGATTTATTACAATCTGGTGTCTGAAAATTCCCTTAATTTCATTATATTTGGTTTGATTAAGCTTCTTATCTTTATCAATAATCACGGCGTTCATCCGGGCAAATAAAAACCAATAATCAGTAATGACTAATCAGAACATGGCTAATGAGTTTTATATTCGTTTTATGGGCAGAGGTGACTGCACCCACCTGACATCGCGAATGTCCTTAATCATTCGCAGTCCCAAGTCCACGCAGCACTTGGCGTGGTCCGCATTGGGATTGGCGAGTCCTGCCACGCAGTAGTAGCAGTCCCCCAGGAACTTGATCCTCAGCACATTGTACTCCTCGCTGGCGCTGTCGAAACGCACGAAGAGATCGTGCAGGGCCTCCACGAGTTTCTTCACATCCAGAGTGGTGGTCAAGTGGGTGTAGTTGACCACATCGGCATACAAAACAGTGACATCCTCATGTGGTTCAATGAAGAGGGTGCTGTTCACAGGAAGTTACATTTTTAAGATTGTTATTTAGATTTATATGATCCCAGCTCACCCGTGATCCGGTTGTCGCCATCTCTTCAGAGTCTGACTATCCGCACTCCTTCTCAGATCCACTTGCGATCGTTGCTGATGCTGCTGCTTGGATCGCTCGATGCGGTTCTTCACGTCCTCCTGCAGCCTGTCTGCAATCTGGGCGGGCAGGATGCTCAGCAGAAGGCTCCTCTCCTGATCCCTGGCGTAGCGCAGCAGCAGGTTCTCCTCCACGTACTGCCTGCGATCCAGGAAAGTGGTACGTAGCGCAATGTCTCTCATCAGACGGAAGAAGATCCCCAGGAGATTGACACAGCTCAGGTAGATGGCCTCGTTCAGGATGCTGTGCATCTGGTTGTCGTCCTTCGCGGTGATCACAAAGCTGTAGTTTATTATGTAGCAGAGGGTGACTGCGGCTCCCAGGACGAAGGGTTGCAGCAGATACGGAACCGGCATGAACATATATATCGCATATAAAGTGTAGGCGTCGTAGATCGGATTCAGGATGTCGTTGTGACTGGTGGCGTGGTACACATTCAGCCCGATGTCCATGAGCACCATCACACAAACCGCCAGCCAGGAGGTGGCGTAGACCACCCATCCGTGCTTGCTAACGAGCTCGCTGCGGAAGTTCACGGAGAGCACCACCCAGATGACCAATCCGGAGCAGATGTAGGCCACCATGTCCACGTAGACGTACTTTATCTCCGGCGTGGTCAGCAGGAGCAGGGTGTGGATCACCGTGACGGCCACGTGGATGAAGATGAACAGCGAGAGGTAGCCGACGCGCAGGCGCCGCATGTACAGGTCGTACGACTCCTCCAGCTCCAGATTCCGGCATTTTCTCTAGGAAATCGGGGTAATAGAAGGTGGTTTAAATAATAAAAGTCCTCCCCTAAGGTATCCCTAAACTGTTTCTTTCTAGATGGGTTCATAATGATGTTTCTTATGTTGCTTAAAATGAAACTACATTTTCAATATTACATTAATGCGAAACGTGCTGTCTTACCAATATATAATATATATATATAGATATATTTAAAGCCCTTCTAGGTTTATTGTGAACGTAGCACTTAAAAGTACCATAGAGCTTGTACTTTATTAATATTGTTGTCACCATTAACCTTAATAGGAATTAGAACGTAAGGGCCTTTGAGATTTTCTTATCGGCTAAAAACAAAACTAAAACACAGTGATATATTTTGTCAGACAGTGAGTGGAGTTTTCAATAACGTTTAAGGTGATCTATATTTTTGTTTACCCACAGGGTTATTTAAATTTTTATTCTTGTCTGTTCATTTCTACCCGACTTGTAATGATAACGAAACAGTATTTTATGGCCTGTAATGTGTCGAAATTGCATTCAGTTGCAATTTGTTTAATTGAGATTTGAGTGTTCGCCCATAAAGATTGGCGTACACATAAAGATAAACTTGAAGCCCGAATAAAACTTTCCACCCCTACTATTTTCGCGGTAAATAAACCACCCGAAATGTGGTAGACTCACCACTAGATAGGACCATTCCCAGTTCTTCTCGTTCTGCGCGGTTTGAGCCTGGTCGCTGCTCCTGGACAAGATGATGGGGTTCGTTCGGTTGTACTCGATGGCCGAGTCGAAGTAGGAGTCCATTGTGGGGCCAGGTCAGATCGGTTGGGATTGGATCACAGCTCCGCTTGCAGCTCCGTCATTTTCGGTGGCAGCTATCCACAATCAGAGGCTGGCTGTCGGAAAACATATCACCCATTATCTGATCAAACAATTAGCCCCAAGGCTTTCAGCGCCAGCAACAAATTCCCAATGGGCACTGAATCAGTCAATTGACGGCTTCGCTTATCAGAGCCCCCCGAAAAATGAGGGGAAAAGCGGGGAGAGTGGGAAAACTATGCGGATTTCGGATTTCGAACTGCTGCCATTTGTGTGGCTGCGAAACAGCAGCTAATTTAGCAATTTGTCTAATGTGCTGTTGATAGTGCGCTAATGGTCTGTAAATCACACTCACCCGCACTCGCACTCCAAATCGATCAGGCGGAGTCCGTTGTTGGCATTATCAGCTGCAGTCGGAATCGGATTGGCAATGGAATGGGGGAAGGATCACGGCTATATGGCTGTGTAATTTATTTACGGGCTTTGCACGTATGCCCGGGCACTTGAGGCGACCGATTTCGCACTTCACTTTCGTTGAGTAATAAATACGATAATAATTAATAAAAAATTAACACCACTTAAGCGCGTAGCGCTCCAACAAGCCAATACACGGCGGACAGGTATCACAAATTACTCTTTTGCCGCGATAAGCACTCGCCCCGATTCGATTCGATTCCGCCCCGTGGGTGAAGATATAGGCACTCGCTTCCGGGGATCCACAAACACGACCGATGCCGACGAACTGCTGCGACCAACTGAGGGCACACACCTGTCGTTAAATCGCTCGCTTTTGGATTGTTGATGGCTGAGTGTTGATTTTGAGTACGGAAAGTGGAGTGCAGAGCGTTATCAGTGTGAAAAGTGTTTGGAGGTGCTGGCGCCTGATTGATGTCACAGCTGGGTTGGCGTTACCTATGCATACAAACTAAAATAACTTTATTATATGTTATAATCAAAACATTTAAACTTTATTTATGGCTTCATTTAAGTAACCTCTAGAGTCTAGACATTTAAATTCAAATTTGAATTTTAGGCGCTCTAACAGCGGAGCCCTCTAGCGGAAAAAATAATGAACAAGGATTTTCCATCCCTGGTTTTGTTTTATCGCGAGGCAGCACAAGGCGTTCAATATTATTTTTCAAATATTTAAAAAGGTTTGTAAAAATTGCACGATCTAAGTTTATAGATTTAACAAATTTAATTACTTAAAAAATTTTATGTTTTTAAATTTAAGAACATTGTTTTCAATATTCGATGGAAAACGCACATTTCTAATAATATCGATAGAACGAAACTATGAATTGATTTTTTGTCCATCTCTTGCCTACAAGCTGTTTATTTTCTGGAACCTAAAAAATAATTGAAGTTGCTGGACTGTTAAAAAATAAGCCGGAAAAGCGGTGGAAAAGCAGAGCAGCTATGTCGGCCTTCACGGAGACAGCTCTCCTCAAGAAGCTGGGGGAGCTGAACAGCAGCCAGCAGAGCATCCAGACCTTATCCTTGTGGCTGATTCACCACCGCAAGCACAGTGCGTCAATCGTGAAGACCTGGCAGCGGGAACTGGAGAACGGTGGGTGGTCCTGAATATGCTTGGTTGTCCTGAACACTATACATCTCTTTCTTCCACAGTTCCTGAGCCCAAGAAGCTGACCTTCATGTACCTGGCCAACGATGTGATCCAGAACAGCAAGAAAAAGGGCCCGGAATACGGCAAGGAATTTAACGTGGTGCTGGGCAAGGTGTTCGCTCATATTGGGGAGAAGTGCGGATCGGACAAGCTTCTGGGCAGCCTCGGCAGGATCCTCAACATCTGGTTGGAGCGTGGTGTTTACGATGCGAAGGTCATTGCAGACTGGCGATCGCGATTGCATAAGGAATCCAGTGGCAACAGCTCCAGCAGCAATGGCAAATCGAACGGCGAGAGTGAAAAGCCGGAAAAGGAGCGGGAAAAGGAGCGCAGCAGCAGTAAATCGGAAAAGTCCGATCGTCGGGAAAAGCGCAAGCACGAAGATCGCCACTCAAAATCAAAGCGTTCGCGGCATCACGGCCAAACCAGCAGCAGTTCCTCCACTAATCCTCCTCCAGTCGAGGAAGTCGTGGCTGTGGAGCCGGAAAATGGTCACACACCCCCCTACTTGCCTTTGGGCGAACCCCCAGAGCCGGAGGAGCTCATTAAAGCTCTCACCAGCATTGAGAACTCCGCCTCTAGTGATGCGGTGGTGCGCGAAAGGATCGCCAAGCTGCCACCAGAGATATCCGAGATTAGCTGCATTACCAAGCTGGAGGATAAAGACAAGGCCAAGGCTTTAGCCGTGCAGGTGGGCACCAATTAATCTAGTTAACAATACCCCAGTTAATATCAACGTTTTAATATGGAACTCCTTTCTAGGTCAACGAAGCTGTGGAGCTGCTGAACGACTACAACGCTCGACTGACAGCGGAGATGGAGGAGCGCGCCAAGCTGGCCACCATGCTGCGGGATTTTCAAGCCGAGCAGAAGGAGCTTCTCTCCCAAGCAGAACAACGCCTCGATGTACGTTCCCCATCTTGGTTTACGAACAGCATGCTCTTTGGGGTGGTTACATAAAGATCTCCATTTAAAACACGGGTGGTTTTCCATCGCAGAACTGATTAAATGTAGTAAACTATTTTACCCTCATGTTGTTATTTTGAATTCTTTAACCGCAGAAATGCAAGTGATAAGAACCGCTTTTGAGCTAAATTAAATTACATATTTTCGTTTAAAACCCTGCCTTGAATTTGAATTTAATGTTGTTCCCTTTAATTGTTCATGTTGATACATCATCGCCTAATTCTGTGTGTCTTTGCAGGAACACAAGAAGAAGCTGGCCAAGATGTTGGGCCTGCAGAAGGAGATCCACGACCACCTCTCCAACCTGCCCGACCTGACCCAATTGCCGGACGTGACCGGCGGACTGGCACCCTTGCCCTCCGCCGGCGATCTCTTCAACGCCCTGCATTGAAGAAACGCAGATCCTGAAGAGCGTGATCCGTAAGGAGCCACTCGAAGTCAAATATTTCAAATTTACCCGTATTCGCATCCTCGCCCGCAAGCCCACTTATTGTAATCCAAGCACACCCACTAATGACGATTTAATTATAGCATATAATTGCAAGCAACTTACACACGTTTGGACTTCTGCTTGTGGGTATTCTAGTGCATAACGTAGTTGGCTGCTCCCTGCCACTTCTCAGTGAAGGAGATAATGTCAGAGATGCCACTGCCAGGGGTCATTTTCACGGCCACCGAGAACTTGCTCCAGACATCGCGGTTCACCTGGTTGCTCGATCCCTGGAAGGTCACGGGCTGGCGACCCCGCACTGGAAACCCGCTCAGCATGCAGGGCAAGTCGCTGGGTCCCAGGCTGGACTCGTACAGACCACGGTCGTCGGTGGGCAGCTGCTGGTCCACCTGCTGGTCCATGCTCACGGCGAGCACCCACTCGCGCACCTCTTCGTGCAGGCCCGGGTCGTTCTTCAGGTGGATGTCCTCCGGCAAGGGCACGGAGCTGGGAAAGTCGGTGCTAGCCAGATCGGAATGGTCCACCAGCTGCCCGGAGCCCTCTTCAATGGCCTCACACACGTCCAGGTAGTGGTTGAGCATCACGAAGGCCTCGGACTCGCGACCTGCCTGGCGGAGATCCATCCCAGCTTCGTAGAAACCCTTGTCCACCGGCAGGAGATCCGTGTGGCGCAGCAGAGCCAGGGATAAGCGAAGAGCCACTGGCTGCAGTGCCTGCACCTCCTTGCAAGCTGCCCTGGTGGTGTAGTAGTGCGATATCAGCAGGAACTGCTCCATGCTGGCTGCAAACTGGGATTGCGCCTGTTCCGGGTTCGCTTTGAGTGACTGCAGCAGGCGGAAGAGGAAGTCCCTCAACTGGCGCCACAGCGTTCCGCCCTCCGTTTGGTCCTCCCTCAAGGCCAGGCAATCCAGGGCAATCCTGGTGTAGATATTGAAGTGGGCCTCGATCGGAGGAGCCCCGTAGCTCAGGTAGAGTCCCAGGGCAGTGGTGCAGTTGCCCTCCCGAATGAGCTGCGCCGCATAGACGGCCACGTACTTCTGCAGCAGGGAGGGATTCAGCTGCTTGGCCTTCTCCAGGCACCGCTGCCACTGGCCCTGCTCCGCCAGCAGATCCAGGGCAGAGACCACGTCGATGTCCGCCAGCTGCTCGATGTTCCCCTCGTGCTTCAGGCTGGCCTTCTGCTGCTGCTCCACGTAGGCCAGCAGTTGGAGGTCCGCATCGATCTCCTTGGCCAGCCGACGCGCCTTGCTCCACTGCTCCGTCTTGATGAACACATCCACCGCCTGCTTGGGCAAGTCGGCGGCCAAGTAGAGCTGGGCGGCAGGTCCTATCTGCTTGATGGCCAGCAGTCGAGGTCCCAGCGACTGAGCCAGCTCCTGGGCATCCTGGCCCTCCAGAAACTGGTTGCAGATCTCGGCGGCTCTCAGCAGAGCTCGCTCCAAGGTGGCCGCATCCTCGGCGTTCGAGGAATCTATTTGCATGAGGCACTCGGCCGCCTTGCGGAACTGTTCCTTCTTGGCGAACTCCGCTGCTCTCTGGAGATAGGCTCGTGAGATGGATGCCGCATCCTCGCCAGCTTGCGCCTGAGCCTGCCCCCTTTGGAGCTGGGCCTGTAGACGCCTCAAGTCATTCAAGGCCGCCGGATAGTGTTCCTCGGCGATGCGCAGGGCATCTTCGTAGAGGGACTCCTGCTTATAGTGCTCCACAATCAAGTCCGGACGATGGGCCCTCAGCAGCAGAGCCTCGTAGTCCTTGTAGTTGCGGGTTTCCAAGGCCGCCGAGGCTTGTCCAATGAGAACTTCTCCCACGGCATCGGGCAGATGCTGCTCGGCCACATTCAAGGCCGCCTGCCAGTCTCCGGCGTGCTGGTACATCAGTATCGCCTCCTTGGGCTTGTTGGCCTTCAGGAACTCCGCCTCCGCCGCCTCGAACTTCCCCTCGTCCTCCAGGGACATGGCTATCTTCAGGTGGACCTCATCCGTGGGCTTCCCTGCGAACCTGCACAGCTCCATGGCGAACTCGAACTGGCCGGAATCGCAGGCAAATCCCACCGCCGTGTCCAACAGTCCCAGCTTGCTCAGCAATCGCACCGCACTCTCGGTGGGCATGGACTTGGCCCACATGTAGGCCACCTGCTGGCTGGCTCCTTCGGTGCCCTTCTGCTTGGCCACCCTGTAGCCGTCCTCCCAGCGACCCGAGGAGCAGTACATATGCACGGCGGACTTCCAGTCGCCGGAGGCCACGAAGTGCAGCTCCGCGTTCTTCAGCTTTCCCCGGGACTCCAGTTGGCGGGCCAAGTGTAGGTGGGTGCTGTCCAGCAGATCCTTGTGGTGGCGCTCCACCAAGCGGATCATGGAGTCGTACAGCTCCCTGCGCTTGTACATGGCTATGGCCAGGTCGGGTTCGTTGACCGCTATCAGGACCTTCTCCGCATCCCTGTACTTGCCCTGCTCCTCCAGAGTGCTGGCCATCTGGATAAAGAGCTCCCTCAGTTGCTCGGGCTTCAGATACTTCTCGCCAATCACATAGGCCCGCTCCCACTTTCCATGGCGGTTCAGCAGTTCTATGGCATCCTTGTGCAGGTTGGCTCTCACCAGCATATCCTCGGCTCCGTCAAGATCGCCGGCAAAGGCCAAGTGCTTGGCCAGATCCACAGCATAGCGCTGGATCAGCTCCGGTTCGTCTAGGACCTTGGCTATTTGGACTGCCTTGCGCCATTGCTTGGCGCCCACTGCCGCCTCCAGAGCCTTTTGGGTGGCTCCCGCCTCGATGTAGTGATTGATGGAGGCATCCAGTTGCTTGCGGCTCACCAACCAGTCGCCCCACTCCTCCTCCAGAGCAGTTACCTCCTGCGGGGCCACCACGCGTCCGAGTTCCAGGGCTCTGGCGAAGGCTCCTCCCTTTCGGTAGAGAGCCAAGGCGGCTTCTGGTCGGGATAACCGATGGGCAATGTCCCCTGCCAGTTCATAGAGTTCCGAGCGAACCAGTCCCTCTGTGACCTGCAGCATCACCTGCTCGTCCTGCAGGATGTGCGGTGTTTTCAGGGCCAGTCGAGCAGCTCTCGCCGGCTTGTTGGCCTTCAGGAACAGGGACATGGCCTGCTGGAGATCTCCCTGCTCCTCCAGAACCTGACCAGCCTTCTCCTGCTGCTCGCTGCTCAGCAGGTAGTCCATGTGCTGCTGCTTGAGCTCGGCGATCTTGTTGTAGCCACGTCTCTCGGCCAGAGCCACTGCCTCATCCCACATGCCCAGCTGCTGGTACATCTTCAGAGCTGCCTCGATGTCGCCCTGCTCCAGATAAATCCTCTCCGCGGTTCGTAGATCCGATCCCAGCAGGGCCAGCTTGGCCCGAACCTCCGGACAGAGGATTCCCGGCGAGCCGGAGGTCTCCTCGAACTCATCCGCCTGCCGGATCATCCCGGCCAGATAGTAGGCCTTGGACACATTACCCAAGGCAGCATAGCATCGCTGGGCCACGCGAAGATTTCCATCCTCCAGAGAAATCAGCGCCAGGTTGTGCCACATGGCCTTGGCAGCGGGCTTGTCTCCCAGGGACTCCAAAAAGTGCACGGCTCTGCCGAAATCACTGTCATTCACTGCGGTTCCGAATTCCACGAGTCCCTCGTCCAATTGATAGTTGTGTTCACTTGGGCCGTCCTGCGATCGAACAACTGTGCGACCCTAGGGATATATAAACTATTAAGATTATGATTAAATTAACATTATAAAATATTTCCTACATTTTCCCTGACCACTTCGATGGCCTCGCCACGAACACTTTGCATGGTGACATGTTCCGGCAAATCGATGTTGTACCAAATGGCCAGATTGGAGTTGCTTTGGGCCACCACCACATCGCTTTGGGGCACCCACTGGACGAACGATATGTTGCTGAGCAGGGTCTGCTTTTTGCCAGTGTAATTATCCACGAGAATCAATCGCAACTTCTTGTCCCTGAACAGCAGCTTGTGAGCAGTCTCACTCAGCTCCAGCCAATCGATCTTGGTCTCGTGGTTTATCTGGCCACTGGTCATCCTGCTGACCAGATCCACCACACATATAGTCTTCGCATCCAGGAGAAACGCCAGTTTCTTGTTTTCCCTGACATTTCCCCGCTCATTTAGACGCACGGAGATCACGTGGGGATTTACGAATTCCGTACGAACGGATCCCAGAATGGAGTTCTCTCCGTATTCCACCAAACTCAGTTCGCCCACATTGAAAACCAGGCAAACCGTGGGGTTCTCGAAGTAAAAGCGCTCGTGGTGCCCAGAAGCAGTCCATGGAACCTCGCTGCTTAAATTCCGAGTCAGGTCACAAAGGATCAGGGATTCCTCGGTGCGGGCCACCAGGTAGTTATCCCTGCCCATGATCCGCACATCGTCGATCTCCAGCCCCAACTGGGATTCGATTGTGAGCTGCTGCGAGGGTTCCGTGAGGGATCTAACCAGAAGCTGACTGGGTGCCACGAAGATCAGCTCGAACTTGTCCTGCCACACGGTTCGCCGGAGGACGGACTCGAAGAGCAGGACTGCTCCACTCACGGATCCCAAGGCAAGGCGGGCGCCATCCCTGCGCCACAGGAGGCTGCTCAGGGTGTACAGACAGGCCACCTCCTTGCTGGCACTCTCGCTCCAAGCTCCCTGCCGAGGACTCCACGCGAAGATCCGAATCCTGTCGAAGCTGCCAAAGGCCACCGCCTGGCCATTCGGACTACAGGCGGCTACAGTGAACTCTCGTTCTCCCTCCGTGCGGGAATGATCAAAGGTGCGCAGCTGACGACCCTGAAAAGGGAGATAAGCCCTAAAGTCCCTGGGAGATCTGATATACTTACCATGCTATCGTAGAAGACGATCCTCTGGTCACAGCCTCCAACACAGAATCCTCCTTGTGGCCAGGCCAAGGCGAATGGAGGCACCGGGTGCTGCACCACTCTGCCAAGTGGCTCTGTAGCCTCATCCGTCATGAAATAGCGTATGATGGTGCCATCATTGTGACCACTCAGGAAACCGGTTCCCTTGGTGTTGGCTGCCAGGGAAATGCATATGCTATCCCCTCCGTACAGGCTTTGGGATTTATTGCTCTTGCTGTGAAGGGCGCGCACTTTGCCGTCCTCCAAGCCTTTTTAATAGCAGAATTATATGAAAGAAATAAAGCATTAAATGGATAACTAAGATTTACCTGCAATAATGGAACCCGAAGTCAGCCAAATCAGAGCAGTCACCGCACTTGCCTGTGGGAACTTGTTGCAAATCACTTTTTTGTCGTTCCAGGATTCCCCGAGTTTGTACACGTAGACAATGCTATCGCTCTGGCCCACAGCTAGTTTGGTGGAATCTGGACTGAATGCCAGTCCCCTGATCACATAGGAATTCTTTCCATTCGAGGGATTCGCTGGCTTGGTGCTGAACTTATCGCGTCTTTCTCCTGCATCGTCGTAGAGAAGAATGTGGCGATCCGCGGTTGCTATGGCCAACTTTTGCTGATTGGGGGACCAGGCCAATCCAGCTATTCGTTGGATTTGCTCCTGAAGGGAAAATGAATTAATTACATCTCAAATGTACTTACATCTTTTATATTTTCAAGGACTCAAAAAACTAGAAAAGCTTTTAATGTTTTTTTTAACATTTAAGAAGACTTGTGAAATTAGGTATATTATTTGTGCTTCATGTAGGTAATTCGATTTTGGATATAAAGGAATACCGCGGCATTGAATTTTTCATTTATCTTGTCGTGTATTGTTTACCTGGCCCTCCAACAGTGTTCTCAGATATTTTAACTGCATTTTTTTCGAGGATATCCTTTAGATTTCTATTTTTCCCTGACTCAATTTTCCTATTGAGAATTAGTTAATTTTCCGACGCAGTTTTCCCGTTGTTGTGGTCCGAGTGTCAGTTGTTGTGGCAACCGGGAGCCCGGCAACCACCCCCTCCACCTCCACCCCCACCCGCACCCCATCCACCCCTTTGTGGTGTCCGCTGTGTTGTTGTGTTGTCTATTTTCTTGGCGCTTCCGCTTTGCGCTGCCATTCTAAATAAATGGCCTTTGTTTTGAGATGCAGCAGGTGCCGGGCCTGCCACAGGATGGGCCAGGATGTGGCTCTGCGCGTGGGTGGTGGTGGCTGCTCCGTTGAGGCGGGTGGTGGGTGGTGGGCGTCCACCCACGGCCACGAAGCTGTTGCTTTGCTCTGCAGACAGCGCTGTCTGCTGTGAGTTGTCCTAGTCCTCTTCGCAAGAGAGAGTCCCTCCTTATGCGCATGTCCTGCGGAGAGAGCGAGTCACAGGTGAGAGGCCAACTCATACAGGTGTGCTGGGGCGAGAGCGCATGACCTTGGGGTGGGTTTGGGGGTAGGGCTTCCCAAATAGGTCGAAATCAGCCCTCTGTCGGCGTTTTTCCAGCGTCTGTCAGTGTTTGTTCAAAAACATCACTTTTATAGCAAATTTTAAGATGAAACTGCTATAATAATTATTTTTGTCATTGCTGGCAGATATTTTTAAACATTGGCTATAAGGAATTAAATTATAATTTGAATTTTATAATTAATTGTTTAATTCTAATAGTAATTTATAAAAGAATATTTCGTTTTCAATTCAAGATAACAGTTTAAGCAGTTCTTCAATACTATTTAACAATTGTACACCACTTGCCTTCACTGCTTGGTTATCCTGCTTGCGTATCCTTACCACCATGTCTTTGCTAACTACACTGCTTCTTTCTCTGACCTGCAGCGCAAACTGCTTTTTTATGTTTCTTAATAGCTCTTACCCCTTGAGTTTCATATTTTCGGAGTGCCAGATAAACTTTCACCACATTTTCTCCTATCTGGTGCTCAGCAAAGCTCTTTCTCTCTCTGCTCTCTCCGCACTCTCAAACTCTCTCTTCGGGTTCTCTCGTTTTTTATCCTTTCGGCAGCTCGGAAATCTCTCGTTTTCGGCCGACATCGTTTGCCTTGGCCAAGTCAAAAGGACTTACAGCGGCAGCTGGATAAGGCGGCTGCTGATTATTTTATTCAATGGCGGAGGCCAAGTTGGCTAATGTATGGCCCAACGCATTGTGGCAGGTCAAAGCGGGCAATTCCGACTGTTTCTGTTTCTGTTGCTGTTTCTGGTCCAGATCCTTTGGTCCTTTTTGGCCGTGCCTTTGGCCTTTTGCCGAGCTGCTCAGCCACTGAGCCACTCTGCTTTGTGCCGTCGCCTGGCTGGCATCCCTTTAATGAGTTTCATTAATTAAAGCTACTTTGTTGCCACTGCTTGTTCCTTCCGCTCCGTGATCTATGTGTGTGTGTGAGTGCGGAGTGTGTGGGTGTGAGTTGGCGAGTGTGCATGAGTAAACATGCAACATGAATTTTGTCCTTGACTTTTAATGGGTTTATGACAAAAGCGTTGTCACCGCCCCACGAAAAACCCCCCTGGAAACGTTGCTAATGTGCAGGGCGTTCTCGGATGTGCTGCTATATAGGAATATAGGAATAACCGTATGTACATACACATACATGTGGGTGTGTGTGGCAGATATGCGTGAGTGTGAGTGTGGGTAAAAGAGTTGTTAAAGCGGACGTCTGCCGGAAGCTCTTGTGGGTGCCATTTTGGTTCATGTTCGCTGCGACGCACGCCATTTTTATCTCGCTTCCTTTTGGCCTGCCTTAAACCATCTTCCATCCGCCATTCGCCATCGCCATTCGCCAGACTTTTGTCTCTAGAACTTGGCTGCTTGGCTGCTTCCTTGGGCTTAGCCAGCTCGCCTGGTCTGTCATTGTTTCCACGGCTATCCTTTTCCCTTTGATATTAGTCCTGTGGCCAAGGCCGCTGGCGTTTTGGCTGGCGCTGCATTTTTAGCCACATCCGTTCGACGGCGACGTCCTTTTCTCCGGGCCGGCTTAATTTGTCGACTTACAATTTTTATCTCCTCGAGCTGCCGAGGTGCGCTCAAGATGCTATCAATTAGGCCGATGCCACTCAGGCCAAAGCCACGGCTTTCTTTTAGCCCACTTAAAACCTCTTCAGCTTAAATTGAAAATATTTAAGGGAATTCAATTCAGTTTAAAAGTGGCACATAAAAAATTACACTTTCTCATACCGCTTGAATGCAACAAATAAAAAATACTGCAACTAGAATGAAATTAGTTTTATCCGTATTTCTAACTAAAATTGCTAAATTAGCGATTTAATGTGCCTCCCGGCGCTCCTGACCAAAATGGGTTAGACCAACTTTGGCAGCCGCAAGAGCTGCGCTAATTCAGCTTTAAGGCAACAATCTAGCTAAAACTCTCATAGCCGCAACTCAAATCTGGGCATTAGTGGCTCGCGTACTTTTTCGCAGCGCCAGGCGAAAGCGAAAGCCGAAAGCCGAAACTTTTGCTCAACTTTGGGTGGCATACACACAGGATCCAGTCACTAAGGGATTTCCCAGACCGTGCGTAGAAAGTGCAACTGCAACAAACTCGAAAAGTGAGGCGGGAAGTGCGCGAAATAACAGCAGAACAGCAGAACACCAGAACAGCGTCAGCCGAGTGCAACTTCGAGTGGGCGAAGGGGCAAGAGCTATGCATAATGAATAACATTTTCAAATTAGTTTCCGGTCAGCGGAGATTTTTACGCAGTTTGTCAAGCGCATGAAAGAAAGTCAGCGGGGTGCACTCGCTGAAAACAAAAGAACGCCACTATTAAAACGAGGAAACACCGGAGAGCCCAGTTTGGAGAATTTAATGATGAAATCGTGCCGTGAAATGCTGACAGGTTTGCCACAAATTCTTTCCAAGGTTGACTCTTTAATTGTTTTTCCCAGGAATTTAACTGCACCAGAGCTGAAAGCATTCTGTTCTGTTTTGTTATTTATAATTCAGTTTGCCATTCCTCATATATGAACTCCAAATGGCAACGTGCCTCAGTGGTGTCATTATATAGTTATGCCAGATAGCAAACCATTTGAGTAATAGTGAACACACCCTATACTTCCATCGATCGTCCTTTGTCCTGGCTGATATTATAGTCCCCCTGTCAGGCTATAATTATATGCTGCTAACGTGCAATCAAAGCGATTGCCATAACAATAATAGCAGCGAAAGGAGGAGGCAAATGAGGAGCCTAGGTCAATCATTTAACAAGCCCCCACGGAGGGGAGGCCGGAAGGTGGGGGCTCGGTGTAAGCAAGCAGAACGTGAAAATACAAAAAGGAGAAGCATAATAATGTACATAAATGTCTACATCTGGCCATTATAATGGGGGATAGCAACGGCAACGGGCCCCGAACTGGAAGCATTCTGCCGGCATAATGAAATCAAAATATGCCTCCTGCTCACGTCCACTTTTTTGGCCTTGCCGTTACTGAATTTTCACATTACGAGTATATGGTATGGCAACAATTTGCGTTAAAAATTGGCACAACAATTGCAAAATAATCACCTTGGAGAGCTGGAGAATTGTTTGCCGGGGAGATGGACTCGACTAGTTTGCCCAGTTCCACTCCAGTGGCTTTTCCTCCTCCTTTCTGTTTTTCTATTTTTGCAAGCTAGAGAGTAAGTTCGATTCCCCGCTGACCAGCCAGTTAAAAGTATTAAAACTGGACCGACTGCATCCCAACGCATCAATTCAATCGAAAAATGAAGCAATCGCTTTGATGGCTCACGGGCATCATTTGCGGAGGCCGCAAGCACTTTAGCCAAATGAAATGTGGCACAATGAACTTTGCCGGCCAAGTCCTTTGGCCTTTTTGGCTCCCGGCTCCAGTCATAACTTTCCAGATGCGGAAGATAGATGGCTGGCCAAGAAGCCAAAGCGTTTGTCCTCGTACTCGTACTTTGCGTTATCTCGGGATGAGCTGAAAATTTTCACAAGTCCAAGTCCAAAAGTTTCCCGGCCGAAGCAAAAGTTTTGCCAATTAGATGATTAGGAATTGCCCTGGGGATATTTTCCAGCCATTTTTTGGCCGGGCAATTAAAGCCGAAATTAAAACACTTGGAGACGCTTAGCCCAGTGACATTTGCAGTCCATTCGATTGGGCCAATAACTTTCTCGATATTCATGACCGCATTGTGGCCGGTTTTGTTGGGCACAAACACGAGCCGCACAAAATCGCCCAGAAGAAACATAAAACCAAGCCATTGCCAATGTCTGGGCACAATCCGAGAACCTTTTAGATTGCCACTGGCAAAAGGGTGTGCCGTCCGAGAAAAGGAATGGGCTGCACAGGGAAAAATATTTGGTTAGGATATAGGTTCGATTAAACTAACAAAAGCGTTAGTGCAAGGTAAGCTTAACCCAAGGCTCCCTCTTTACCTAACTATTTCCGCCTTTTTTTTGAGTTATCTCAAAGGAGATCCCAAAAGGAATGTGAAAATTTGTCCTGTGCACATACAACCACGCATGACTAGTGTTTGCGGGCTTTATTGTCGGACTGGCGTTTCTGCTCTGCTGCTCTTGGCCAAACAGTGGGCCAGTGTGAGCGCTATTAGCCAAAGGCCTGCCAAATAAAAGCGAAACATTTGTACCGACACGAGCCTCAGTCCGTTTGTGTGTATGTTTTATGTCGCGATGTCAGCATGAACACTTTGCGTTTCATATTTGCCAGGCCACTGAGCAGATACACCCACATACTCGGATATTCGTATAGAGAGCCCGATTCCTGGGCGTTACATCCGAGTTTCGTTTGCCGTTTTCTTTATGCAAATTAGCCCCCTGTCAGTTGGATTTTTTCCACGTCTTGCCGCCGCTGTTGCTTTCTGCATAAATTTTAAATTTCCTCCTTAATGCCGAGCCGGCGAACTCGGTTCGTATTTATTTGGAAGCATACTTTTATGGGCGCTGGCTGTGACAAGTCCTGATACGTCTGGCCCTGTCTCAGGCTTATTTATGCACTAACATTAAGAAT